AAGTGCAAGACCCCAGAATGAAAAACCCCAAAGTGCAAGACGCCACACCAGGACCATTTCAGGACCAATCCGCCGGTACCGCCAAATTATATACCGCCCCCGCCCAGATCGTACCACAGCAAAGGCCATAGTAAGCGATACTTTTCCCGCAATAGCAGGGCCGAGCGGTATTCAGCGTAATAAGGAAGAAGCCAAAATCGAACCCGAACCCGTAATCCAGTTGCCGCCTAAACCTAAAAGTGCGATTGTAATGATGGCAGAACTCTTGGCATTAGAACAAACCAAAAAAGTTGATTCGGAAATGCAAAGTGAGAAAGCATTAATTAAAAAAAGGCTATTAAAAGGGAAAATGAAAATTTCCTCCGATATTAACCATATTTGGTGCCCTTCCTGCAGTAAAATTGAGAGTGATTCGCCTTGGATTCAGTGCGATACTTGTACTCGGTGGTGGCATCAGGACTGCACGCTGTATCGAGGATCTGGCGAATTTCTGTGCGAAATATGTCGCTTCTAATCTTGGATATTGTTTCATTTCGAATTTTTTTAGTAAGTTCTTTTATTTTTGTGATAAAAGCCACGTATTGTGATACGAAGTTATGTGTATTCTACTTTTGAATAAAGATACCCATGCCTAAATACTTGTTTTTTATGTAAAATATAGGTAATAGAATAAAGGGAATTTTTTTATCAAAAAAAAAAATTGTTTTTTATTGTTTATTGTGTAGGTTGGCACTACTAATTCTGGCGGAAACTCTCTTCAAGTGCGACAAAGGTTAGTCGAAATATTTGCCTATCACGATGACATAATCCAAGTATTCCAAAGGTGTCTCCCAAGCGAGTCTTTGGAGATTTCACTCCATCAACGGCATTAAAGTGATATAGGCCGTTTCCAGCAGTAAAGGCGGTATTTTTTTTTTCCTATCTTCTCCATTGAGCTGCCCTATCGACTTTTTGAGGCTATAGAGTTGGAAACTACTGAGGTTCTAAGGTCAATAATATTTTGAGTAATCTTTCTATGCTTATAGAACCTGAAAATCTTACTTTTGACAAAATCGAGAAACTGTTGTCAGCTCACTTCCGACTTGCAAAGTTAGAAATATTTGAGAGATTTCAGTTTTCAAACAGAATCAAAAAGATTATAATAATAATAATAATAATTTTATTAACAAAAGGATATACATGTCTTTGTTTACACTTCTTTTATGATTGTATTAACTTATTAGCTAATTATTGTAATGATGCTTAGATATACCAAGACATCTGTATGCATCATCAGAATCATGTTTTTTTTTTTTTAAATTTCACGATATATTCTAAATTACAGACACTAGGTTTAAACTTAACCTAACCGGCTTGAAGAGAGCAAAAGTAAAAAAATAAAAAAATAAAAAATCCATAATACATGATAAATCAATGTATTTCACTCATCACCCCATAAATCTGGCAAACCTATCAAAATTATTGATTATAAATGTTTTGCTGCTTGTGTTAAACATTCTTATTCTGTTCATAGATTTAATTTCATTGGGTATTTCATTATAAAATTTAGGTTCTAAATAATCTATAAATTTCAAAAACATGGTTTTCCTACAGTTTGGTATAACTAAATGCTTGTTTACATTTGCTCTGGTTAATTGATGATGGTTCATGAACCTTTTCAATTTTCCATTTCTGTGAAAGTACAAGCACGTACTGTGTACATACAGACATTCAATGTTGCAAATTTCAGCGTTATAGAGTAGTTTTGTTGGGTATAACCTGTTTCTCTTAAACATTATTTTTACAATAGAGTTCTGAACGGTTGCCAAAGGTTTCAGATTTGTTTTGTAGGAGCCGCCCCAGATAGGTAATCCATTAATGAATCTATTAATGACAGCTATGAAGAATTATAGCAATATCCAACAAATTTGGGAATTTTGTTCAACGAACTTGATAGATACAGATTTATAGTAGGATTAATAAGTAAAAAAATTCAAAAATAAGCTCTCGGGAAAGTTGTAAGAATTTTGGAAAAAAAACAGGTATATACCTACTGGTAAATGTAGGTATTAGGACTCATGCAAACGCTGTGAAAAAAAAAGGATATTCACTTCTTCTTCTTCTGCCAATTCGTGTCCACTAATGGATATTTGATATAATATTTTCCATTGCTTCTCTATTCCTTTTCCTTTTTTTTCTAGCTTTGTGCCAGTACACAAAGCCTAACTTAAAATACTAACAAGTTAATACCCATGCAATTTTTCTTGTCACACAAGATAGCCAAGCTCTGGAACTAGTCTAATTACAAGTCTAATTTTATTGGTGGTTTACCAATGCGACTGGAACGCCTGAATGCTGCATCTTGAAGAACTGTGAGTGACTTAATTCTACTTTCCCTGAATTTGTTTAGTCTGTGCATTTCCACCAGTAATATCGGAAGATTGTGCGTTACAATCACCATGTTGAGATAAGTCAGTGTTCAGATCAGATCTCAAGAAAGAAAACTGCTGTGGTTATCAGTATTTAGCAGAACAGAAGGAGGAATACAATAGATCAACCTTGGTCGCGCTGCAACTGACACCTCCAACATAACTAATTAATTCACACGTCTTAGACGAATTCAAATCAGGAGAAGAACTGGGTACTATAGAGAGATAATATTTAATAATAGTGATCAAGGTCAAATGCATAGGAAAGGCGTTTTTCTAAGTCATCGATATGAACCAACGAATGCTTATTAACAGTCTTAATTAAACACGTCTTGGTTATTTACATAACAAATGCGGAAAGTGATACTTGCCTTAAAATAAATAGAACTAGAAAACAACGAGGAACCGATCCAGCATTAGCTTGATAATATTTTCTTCACACAAACAATTAAACAATAACCGGTGAAATTCTAGCTGAGATGCTTCTCTATCATGAACCGCAGATTAGCTATGTTAAAAGAAAATTTGGAAACATCAACAAATAAATTTAAACCAATTATTTCATTTGAATAAAGCGAATCGATTTACGTTAACATTAAAAGGGAAGACGAAGACAAATATATTAAAGGTATACTGTCATAGATAAAGTTAGTAATTATACGTACCTACTACCTATTCGCATGGGCGTCGTTACGAGGTTTCTCAGGGAGGGGGGGGGGGCAGTATTATAATAAGACCATTTCCATTAGCGCCGCAGGCAACCGCCGTAGGCTAATTTTTTTTGGTGCCACGCTCCTTTTTGAGCATTTTAACGTACTTATTTGATATCGATATTTAGTTAAAAATGATGGTATTTTTTTCCGCAAAAAATTCAATGTCCGTAGGGATGCCACCTTGGAAAGCAAGTTGAACCGGAGAAAAAAAAAAACCTTATCAAAAAAAAGAAGAAAAAAAAAATCCTACATATCTGATAACAGATGCATTAGGTACACTCTATCTATACACAAGTCTCCGACATGACCGGATGATGCTCCAGATTTGGTAATTGAGACGGTGTGAGAGGGACATCCAAGGATTATTACACACTACACGGGATAGGACAACCATAGGATAGCCTATCCGCATACAGCCTCTGTAGATCAAATCTCAAGCCGCTCACCACGCCAAAGCACCAGTGAGACGTAGGCAACGTGTCGTTCCTCGGCTTGACGAAGGATATTTGCACCACTGGCTATGATTCCGCTGACTTGTGCTTTATGCATACTTGGTTTTAGTACATTAATGGCAACGAGATCAATCGTTAGTCAATCCTTGTTAGCAAACAACAACCTCAGATTGTGCCACACAAAAACAATCTCACATTGACATTGACACAATCTGAGGTTTTTGTTAACTAACTAATTGATCTAGCCGCACGAAACATTCTAAAACAACCCTTTTTAGATCTCGTTTGCATCTTCCGCTTTGCCTCCTATGTTAATCAAAATTAAATAATATTTTTCATCATAAATGTATATTTTAAACTACGACCGCTGGCGCAAACAATTAACGACACCGTTGATGACGTCGGCTACGGTGCAACACCATATGACCTTGATTCCAAAAATCGAGGCCGATGAGCAATCCTATATTAGTCTGTAATATCCTTGAGGGAGAACAGGAACAGTATTGAGCTGTTGCAATCTTATTTTTTTTTCCTGGACTTAAAAAATATTTTTACCTTTTTTTGTTAAATGCGGTTTTACACCTAGTAATCCGGAGCCCGGAGACCATATCTGAAAACCCGTAGACTCCGGGTGAAACACGGAGAGGTGGCAACCCTAACTGTTCGCATCATTTGTTTAGGTAATTTTCTAATGGCTGGTATTATTATTATTATTATAAAACACTGATGATTGAGTTTCAACCTTCGGTTGACTCCATTCCATGCAAATTGATAGGATTCAACCAAAGGTTGAAACTATACCATTGGTTCAGTGTTTTATAATACCGGCCCTAAGTCAAGTGAAATTCAATTCCGTTGAATGCAATGGCAATGTCAGCCAATTTTTCAAAGTACCTAACAAATTTTGAAAAAATGGAAAAAAGCAATACGAATACAAACTCTCTTTTACTGCTTTCTTGTTCAAAAGACTATTTCTAGGGGGGGGGGGGGGGCATTTGCCCCCCCCCCCCCCCCCAAACGACGCCCATGCCTATTCGATTGTTTGCTATCTAATAAGAGTTCGTTGGTTCACATCGAGAAAAACACCATTGTAAATTTGATCTCGATCAAGCAAATACCTACTATTAAATATCAAGATGTTTCTATAGTAGGTCCCCAATTCTACTCCTAATTCGAATATTTCCAAGACGAATGAAATGATGTAACTACCGCCTTCTAATCCTGCATAAAAATCGTACGTAGCTTAGAAGAAGACAATTTTTCATGCTATGTATGCGAATGTCAGGCAACACTTTCTTGTACCCGGAGGTCCGTATTACGGAACGCGATTGTTAATGTGTAATTGTCAAAACCTGATGTCACTGTCAATACTTTTGCAAATTATTCTCTGTTTGTCTCAATAAGTGCTCCATTAATCAAAGAATAACATGGAAGGGGACGAAAAGGAGGTACCAGAGCAACCCAATCAGTCTATTGTAGGAACGCGCATAGATGAGCCTGTTCAAGAACCCGGCAATACTCAGGGTGTTCCAGTTCCATGTGGTATTTCGCCCATTGAAAGGCCGAGAGCTATTGAACGTATTGCAAGACCTCAAACTGCAGGAACTCAAAGTGCAAGACCCCAAAATGAAAAACCCCAAAGTGCAAGACGCCACACCAGGACCATTTCAGGACCAATCCGCCGGTACCGCCAAATTATATACCGCCCCCGCCCAGATCGTGCCACAGCAAAGGCCATAGTAAGCGATACTTTTCCCGCAATAGCAGGGCCGAGCGGTATTCAGCGTAATAAGGAAGAAGCCAAAATCGAACCCGAACCCGTAATCCAGTTGCCGCCTAAACCTAAAAGTGCGATTGTAATGATGGCAGAACTCTTGGCATTAGAACAAACCAAAAAAGTTGATTCGGAAATGCAAAGTGAGAAAGCATTAATTAAAAAAAGGCTATTAAAAGGGAAAATGAAAATTTCCTCCGATATTAACCATATTTGGTGCCCTTCCTGCAGTGAAATTGAGAGTGATTCGCCTTGGATTCAGTGCGATACTTGTACTCGGTGGTGGCATCAGGACTGCACGCTGTATCGAGGATCTGGCGAATTTCTGTGCGAAATATGTCGCTTCTAATCTTGGATATTGTTTCATTTCGAATTTTTTTAGTAAGTTCTTTTATTTTTGTGATAAAAGCCACGTATTGTGATACGAAGTTATGTGTATTCTACTTTTGAATAAAGATACCCATGCCTAAATACTTGTTTTTTATGTAAAATATAGGTAATAGAATAAAGGGAATTTTTTATCAAAAAAACATTGTTTTTTATTGTTTATTGTGTAGGTTGGCACTACGAATTCTGGCGGAAACTCTCTTCAAGTGCGACAAAGGTTAGTCGAAATATTTGCCTATCATGATGACATAATCCAAGTATTCCAAAGGTGTTTCCCAAGCGAGTCTTTGGAGATTTCACTCCATCAACGGCATTAAAGTGATATAGGCCGTTTCCAGCAGTAAAGGCGGTATTTTTTTTTCCTATCTTCTCCATTGAGCTGCCCTATCCACTTTTTGAGGCTAGAGTTGGAAACTACTGAGGTTCTAAGGTCTATAATATTTTGAGTAATCTTTCTATGCTTATAGAACCTGAAAATCTTACTTTTGACAAAATCGAGAAACTGTTGTCGGCTTACTTCCGACTTGCAAAGTTAGAAATATTTGAGAGATTTCAGTTTTCAAACAGAATCAAAAAGATTATAATAATAATAATAATAATTTTATTAACAAAAGGATATACAAGTCTTTGTTTACACTTCTTTTATGATTGTATTAACTTATTAGCTAATTATTGTAATGATGCTTAGATGTACCAAGACATCTGTATGCATCGTCAGAATCATGTTTTTTTTTTTTTTTAAATTTCACGATATATTCTAAATTACAGACACTAAGTTTAAAGTTAACCTAACCGGCTTGAAGAGAGCAAAAGTAAAAAAATAAAAAAATAAAAAATCCATAATACATGATAAATCAATGTATTTCACTCATCACCCCATAAATCTTGCAAACCTATCAAAATTATTGATTATAAATGTTTTGCTGCTTGTGTTAAACATTCTTATTCTGTTCATAGATTTAATTTCATTGGGTATTTCATTATAAAATTTAGGTTCTAAATAATCTATAAATTTCAAAAACATAGTTTTCCCACAGTTTGGTATAACTAAATGCTTGTTTACATTTGCTCTGGTTAATTGATGATGGTTTACAAACTTTTTCAATTTTCCATTTCTGTGAAAGTACAAGCACGTACTGTGTACATACAGACATTCAATGTTGCAAATTTCAGCGTTATAGAGTAGTTTTGTTGGGTATAACCTGTTTCTCTTAAACATTATTTTTACAATGAGTTCTGAACGGTTGCCAAAGGTTTCAGATTTGTTTTGTAGGAGCCGCCCCAGATAGGTAATCCATTAATGAATCTATTAATGACAGCTATGAAGAATTATAGCAATATCCAACAAATTTGGGAATTTTCTTCAACGAACTTGATGGATACAGATTTATAGTAGAATTAATAAGTAAAAAAATTCAAAAATAAGCTCTCGGGAAAGTTGTAAGTATTTTGAAAAAAAAACAGGTATATTCCTACTGGTAAATTAGGACTCATGCAAACGCTGTGAAAAAAAAAGGATATTCACTTCTTCTTCTTCTGCCAATTCGTATCCACTAATGGATATTTGATATAATATTTTCCATTGCTTCTCTATTCCTTTTCCTTTTTTTTCTAGCTTTGTGCCAGTACACAAAGCCTAACTTAAAATACTAACAAGTTAACACCCATGCAATTTTTCTTGTCACACAAGATAGCCAAGCTCTAGAACTAGTCTAATTACAAGTCTAATTTTATTGGTGGTTTACCAATGCGACTGGAACGCCTGAATGCTGCATCTTGAAGAACTGTGTGACTTAATTCTACTTTCCCTGAATTTGTTTAATCTGTGCATTTCCACCAGTAATATCGGAATATTGTGCGTTACAATCACCATGTTGAGATAAGTCAGTGTTCAGATCAGATCTCAAGAAAGAAAACTGCTGTGGTTATCAGTATTTAGCAGAACAGAAGGAGGAATACAATAGATCAACCTTGGTCGCGGTGCAACTGACACCTCCAACATAACTAATTAATTCACAGGTCTTAGACGAATTCGAATCAGGAGAAGAACTGGGTACTATAGAGAGATATTATTTAATAATAGTGATCAAGGTCGAATGCATAGGAAAGGCGTTTTTCTAAGTCATCGATATGAACCAACGAATGTTTATTAACAGTCTTAATTAAACACGTCTTGGTTATTTACATAACAAATGCGGAAAGTGATACTTGCCTTAAAATAAATAGAACTAGAAAACAACGAGGAACCGATCCAGCATTAGCTTGATAATATTTTCTTCACACAAACAATTAAACAATAACCGGTGAAATTCTAGCTGAGATGCTTCTCTATCATGAACCGCAGATTAGCTATGTTAAAAGAAAATTTGGAAACATCAACAAATAAATTTAAACCAATTATTTCATTTGAATAAAGCGAATCGATTTACGTTAACATTAAAAGGGAAGACGAAGACAAATATATTAAAGGTATACTGTCATAGATAAAGTTAGTAATTATACGTACCTACTACCTATTCGCATGGGCGTCGTTACGAGGTTTCTCAGGGGGGGGGGGGCAGTATTATAATAAGACCATTTCCATTAGCGCCGCAGGCAACCGCCGTAGGCTAATTTTTTTTGGTGCCACGCTCCTTTTTGAGCATTTTAACGTACCTATTTGATATCGATATTTAGTTAAAAATGATGGTATTTTTTTCCTCAAAAAATTCAATGTCCGTAGGGATGCCACCTTGGAAAGCAAGTTGAACCGGAGAAAAAAAAAAACCTTATTAAAAAAAAGAAGAAAAAAAAATCCTACATATCTGATAACAGATGCATTAGGTACACTCTATCTATACACAAGTCTCCGACATGACCGGATGATGCTCCAGATTTGGTAATTGAGACGGTGTGAGAGGGACATCCAAGGATTATTACACACTACACGGGATAGGACAACCATAGGATAGCCTATCCGCATACAGCCTCTGTAGATCAAATCTCAAGCCGCTCACTACGCCAAAGCACCAGTGAGACGTAGGCAACGTGTCGTTCCTCGGCTTGACGAAGGATGTTTGCACCACTGGCTATGATTCCGCTGACTTGTGCTTTATGCATACTTGGTTTTAGTACATTAATGGCAACGAGATCAATCGTTAGTCAATCCTTGTTAGCAAACAACAACCTCAGATTGTGCCACACAAAAACAATCTCACATTGACATTGACACAATCTGAGGTTTTTGTTAACTAACTAATTGATCTAGCCGCACGCAACATTCTAAAACAACCCTTTTTAGATCTCGTTTGCATCTTCCGCTTTGCCTCCTATGTTAATCAAAATTAAATAATATTTTTCATCATAAATGTATATTTTAAACTACGACCGCTGGCGCAAACAATTAACGACACCGTTGATGACGTCGGCTACGGTGCAACACCATATGACCTTGATTCCAAAAATCGAGGCCGATGAGCAATCCTATATCAGTCTGTAATATCCTTGAGGGAGAACAGGAACAGTATTGAGCTGTTGCAATCTTATTTTTTTTTCCTGGACATAAAAAATATGTTTACCTTTTTTTTGTTAAATGCGGTTTTACACCTAGTAATCCGGAGCCCGGAGACCATATCTGAAAACCCGTAGGCTCCGGGTGAAACACGGAGAGGTGGCAACCCTAACTGTTCGCATCATTTGTTTAGGTAATTTTCTAATGGCTGGTATTATTATTATTATTATAAAACACTGATGATTGAGTTTCAACCTTCGGTTGACTCCATTCCATGCAAATTGATAGGATTCAACCAAAGGTTGAAACTATACCATTGGTTCAGTGTTTTATAATACCGGCCCTAAGTCAAGTGAAATTCAATTCCGTTGAATGCAATGGCAATGTCAGCCAATTTTTCAAAGTACCTAACAAATTTTGAAAAAATGGAAAAAAGCAATACGAATACAAACTCTCTTTTACTGCTTTCTTGTTCAAAAGACTATTTCTAGGGGGGGGGGGGGCATTTGCCCCCCCCCCCCCAAACGACGCCCATGCCTATTCGATTGTTTGCTATCTAATAAGAGTTCGTTGGTTCACATCGAGAAAAACACCATTGTAAATTTGATCTCGATCAAGCAAATACCTACTATTAAATATCAAGATGTTTCTATAGTAGGTCCCCAATTCTACTCCTAATTCGAATTTTTCCAAGACGAATGAAATGATGTAACTACCGCCTTCTAATCCTGCATAAAAATCGTACGTAGCTTAGAAGAAGACAATGTTTCATGCTATGTATGCGAATGCCAGGCAACACTTTCTTGTACCCGGAGGTCCGTATTACGGAACGCGATTGTTAATGTGTAATTGTCAAAACCTGATGTCACTGTCAATACTTTTGCAAATTATTCTCTGTTTGTCTCAATAAGTGCTCCTTTAATCAAAAAATAACATGGAAGGGGACGAAAAGGTACCAGAGCAACCCAATCAGTCTATTGTAGGAACGCGCATAGATGAGCCTGTTCAAGAACCCGGCAATACTCAGGGTGTTCCAGTTCCATGTGGTATTTCGCCCATTGAAAGGCCGAGAGCTATTGAACGTATTGCAAGACCTCAAACTGCAGGAACTCAAAGTGCAAGACCCCAGAATGAAAAACCCCAAAGTGCAAGACGACAGACCAGGACCATTTCAGGACCAATCCGCCGGTACCGCCAAATTGTATACCGCCCCCGCCCAGATCGTGCCACAGCAAAGGCCATAGTAAGCGATACTTTTCCCGCAATAGCAGGGCCGAGCGGTATTCAGCGTAATAAGGAAGAAGACAAAATCGAACCCGAACCCGTAATCCAGTTGCCGCCTAAACCTAAAAGTGCGATTGTCATGATGGCAGAACTCTTGGCATTAGAACAAACCAAAAAAGTTGATTCGGAAATGCAAAGTGAGAAAGCATTAATTAAAAAAAGGCTATTAAAAGGGAAAATGAAAATTTCCTCTGATATTAACCATATTTGGTGCCCTTCCTGCAGTGAAATTGAGAGTGATTCGCCTTGGATTCAGTGCGATACTTGTACTCGGTGGTGGCATCAGGACTGCACGCTGTATCGAGGATCTGGCGAATTTCTGTGCGAAATATGTCGCTTCTAATCTTGGATATTGTTTCATTTCGAATTTTTTTAGTAAGTTCTTTTATTTTTGTGATAAAAGCCACGTATTGTGATACGAAGTTATGTGTATTCTACTTTTGAATAAAGATACCCATGCCTATATACTTGTTTTTTATGTAAAATATAGGTAATAGAATAAAGGGAATTTTTTTATCAAAAAAAAAAATTGTTTTTTATTGTTTATTGTGTAGGTTGGCACTACTAATTCTGGCGAAAACTCTCTTCAAGTGCGACAAAGGTTAGTCGAAATATTTGCCTATCACGATGACAAAATCCAAGTATTCCAAAGGTGTCTCCCAAGCGAGTCTTTGGAGATTTCACTCCATCAACGGCATTAAAGTGATATAGGACGTTTCCAGCAGTAAAGGCGGTATTTTTTTTTCCTATCTTCTCCATTGAGCTGCCCTATCCACTTTTTGAGGCTAGAGTTGGAAACTACTGAGGTTCTAAGGTCTATAATATTTTGAGTAATCTTTCTATGCTTATAGAACCTGAAAATCTTACTTTTGACAAAATCGAGAAACTGTTGTCAGCTTACTTCCGACTTGCAAAGTTAGAAATATTTGAGAGATTTCAGTTTTAAAACAGAATCAAAAAGATTATAATAATAATAATAATAATAATTTTATTAACAAAAGGATATACATGTCTTTGTTTACACTTCTTTTATGATTGTATTAACTTATTAGCTAATTATTGTAATGATGCTTAGATATACCAAGACATCTGTATGCATCATCAGAATCATGTTTTTTTTTTTAAATTTCACGATATATTCTAAATTACAGACACTAGGTTTAAACTTAACCTAACCGGCTTGAAGAGAGCAAAAGTAAAAAAATAAAAAAATAAAAAATCCATAATACATGATAAATCAACGTATTTCACTCATTACCTACCCCATAAATCAAGATATATAGTAATCAAAAATCGAGTGATGATGAACAAGATGGTATTGTTAATGCTGACAAACTGTTTCACGTTTCCATCAACATTTTCAAGGTGACAAATCCATTTTTTTTGAATCTTCAGGTAGATATAGAAATTTTAACTTTGAAGTAGACATAGGTGCTTCAGTATCCTTGATAAGTAAATATGATTGATATTCCTCTAAACATGAATAATTAATTGCATCAATGTAGTATGAAAAGAAACACCCAGTTGTTTATACACTGATAGAAAAACAAAAACACTTCTGAATATGTTCCTAGTTTTCATTTCATGTTCTTATTTAAATAAGGTCTGTTCCAACACGTCAAAAACCTTCCCATGAACAGTTTGGAAATCACTCTGTTTACGAATTTCAGTTTCTACACACAAATTTTAGGATTTGCGCAGAATCGTGACGGAACATTGTACAGTTTCTTGCTGTGATGGATTAAAGCCTTATGAGAGCAAATTTACAAACCTTTTTAATTTTTTATCGAATAAGTAAACAAACCATTATAGAAACAACCTTTTTGGTATCTTATTGATGTCTTTTCTAAGTAAGCATACATCAAATACCTACATATATGCCTTCACTAACTCAAATGCAAAAGTTAATGAATTGCGAACCTATGAGATAATAGACCACAGTTCAATTCCGCTCCACCACGAACGGTAAAATTCAAACTGTTGGTTAACGGTAAACCGCGTGCTAGACTATCTATATTACAAGAAAATTAGTAAACATCAACAAGTACATTTGAACCAAGTCACCGAGTCATTAATCTGTTATGGATAAGGTTAGTAATTTCACCTACGAGCGTGCAGAAAGTGTACTCTAGAAAGCGAGAAAAAAATAAAAACATCCTGAAATAGTGCGTTAACGTCAAAAATAATTACATAACCAGATCACCGAAATGCAAAAGTAAATAATGGGTCATATTTTTTTTTTATGCCCATTCCAACGAGCTATCACAATACATCTTTACATTCGAAAAAAAAAAGTTGGGGGTGGTTTCTACCCTTAAAAGAGGAGTAAATTCCATGAAAAGGCCAAAAAAATGTGCCAAACTAAAAATGAAGGGACACGTTTTTTCAAAATTTTTCCAAAAAATAAATAGACTTTTTGATACTGAATTTATTCCATTTAAAAATTCCACCCTGTATAAATCTCAGTAACGTTTCCACATTCACACAAATACTTCTACCATCATAGAGTTGCGTTTCTCACAATAATAAAGATTTAAACCAGTGCACATTCCTGGCTGGATATTTTTTACAGTTCAAGTTAAATATCCTGAGTCCTGTAATACTTCTGATTTCTATGGGAGGTAGACTAATTATTAATCTTGAATAAAAATCGTACCTTGCGTGGTAGAAAACAAATTCATGCTATGTATGCCAGGGAGTCAATTCTTGAATATTTTCGCATATGTAAGTTGATTCGAATTAGAATGACAGCAAGCAACGTAAATTTAATAGGAAACATTCGAAATCATATCAATTTTCGTATGCGAGATAATTTAAGAATTGGGGGCCAGATAAGACAAACAAACTCTAGATATCTAGAATAGTTTTTTTTTTAAGAGAGCCCTCACTGGAGTGATACTCTACATGCCCCTACGTTCTTGTCATAAATAACGCTTATTGCCCACTGGGCAGATTGCAGAACTCTCAAAGAGTTATTAATTAATAAAATCGGAAAAGGTTCATCTTCGAGCTCGATGGAACATTGACCACTGTCCTGCTGTACATCACTATCTTCACATCGGCTGCTGCAGTAGATTTTATGTGGATTCTCAATAAGTGCTTTCAAAAGACAAGCAAAATTCTCCCAATTCCTAGCGCAATAGCATAATCCTATGTAGTGGTCAAACCTGCACATTTTTTAGATGTTTTTGCAAATATCAGTGGGGGCGCTAGAGATTTCATCATTCATAGGTCTCTCCTCAAAAACACTCTAGGTTGCACTTAGAGCAGACTAAGATTCTTATCTTCCTTGAGCTTTTTATAAACAACAAAATAAGAGTTGAATGTTTCAAAATTCTGAGTGTATTAGGTTAATTAATTGGGCTCAGTCTTTGATTTGAATAAAACCACAAAAGAGAAAAAAAAAACAACAATAAACTCGCACAATAAATACATTGGTAAATTTCTTGCATGTTTATAGGTTTATCAGGTTGTTTTTCTGTGATGTTCATATAGTTGTCGCATGCCGATCAGAATGTCTCTTACCTGTATCCCGTGGGAACCGGGTGGGCTGGACGGCGACAAACCGGGACTCGGGGGTGGCAATGGCGTAAGTCCTGGCAGCACAAACAGCGGCTCCGGAAGGGTTTCCGCAGCGTTGTCGGTAGGAATCAACAGTTTGGCGTTGCGCAAACAGAGAGAAGCAAATTCGAGAGTCGGAACAGGTATGGCGTACGATAGACTTTCGGCACTAAAAACAACAACAGGACTTAAGGGCCATTTATCTTACAAGTATATAGAATATGGAGATTTGTAGGCAGAACCTGGTAATGCGTGCCAGTGAAGCATTATGTATGCACAAACTATATACCTACCCTATAAAATACCGCATTTTTGGTATATTCTATTCAAAAGAGATATAGCCTTGAGCTTCAGAACAATTAATATTTCATTTACTTTACGCTTACTTATACTTTTTATCCTTGGACAAATTGCTGGTTAAAACAATCATTCGCTGCTCTCCAGTCCCAATCACTTCCGAGATAAGTTCCTTCTGTTTCTTTAGTAAATCAAAATCCTCCTCGTTGCTCTATAAAAAAACCACATCGTAAAATTATAAAAGCTAGGCTTGAAGACTTGAATTTTTAAGGAAAAAAATGTATTTTGTATTTTGTCCACTGAAATTTACCTCTTTATGCACTGCAATACAACACTCAGCAATCCTGAGCCATAATCTTGAATTTCTATGATAACGTCTGACACAAATAATCAGAGCATCGAAAGCTTGTGCTGGTCTGCCTGCATACAACAAAGCTATACCAAGATTGTACATCAGTTCATGATATTTAGAGCCTCCTAATGTATATAATGGTTTTTCATCTGGAATAAATATTCTATAGGTTAAAATATTTTGCTTAGATATTATAGATTGTTTTTTTCTATTCCTTGCAAATATGTCACATAAATAAATAAATAAATAAATATCGTCTTTATTTAATACTAGCTGACCCGGCGAACTTCGTACCGCCTCTGAATTATTAAATACCTATTAAATGTTGTGTTAACGTATCTATTAGCTGAATTAAATTCAGTTTTTTTCGATGGTGAATTTGGCTTTGGTTGAAGAATATTAATGTTTACTCTCTAGATCAAAAGTCACCTAAAATTAAAATTTTACATCATCAAGGCAGCTTGTGGGCATTTTTTTTTTGTAAAGTGTACCACCAAATAAATAAACTCAGGCACATGAATGTTCAAAGAATGTAAAGAAAACAGAAAGAAATCTACAGCGCAGCCCTGTATCACTCTATCTGCACTGCACTACTCCATCTGTTCTACTCTATCTGCACTATTCTATCTGATCTACTCTTTCTGCACCACTCAATCTGATCAGAATAGTGGAATAGTTCTGTTCTAAATATCTCCAGTTCCTGAGCAGCATGGTTCTACTGCATCTGCAATGAAATTACCGCGCATCCGTGAGCTTCGTTCTAGGTATCATGTATGGCGCCGTATACAAAATGGTTGTGGCGGACTCATAACCTGGCTCTCTGCCACTCGACACCAGCCGGACGGAGCACTCCGAACAGTCGGCACGGAACACGGCTGTCAAGGGATGCCTGAGAGGAGAAACGGAACTTAGCCACAGAACGTCAATGGTCAAGCGTCAAGAAATGACGACCAGTTCGCGCTCTTGCGGAATGGACCAACAACAAAATAAAATACACAATTAAAACATTGTAATTCTATTTATTTTTGGACATTTTTATTGTGAAGAACAGATGAAAGTAAAGTGCTTTCCTTAAATTGTTTTTGTGCAAAGTGTGTGACAATAAAATCCACATGGTTTGCAATGAAAATGTGACGGTAAACTTGGTATCGGTATAAGAGATGGCGCCGTATGCGGGCTTATTAATTTTTTTTCATAAATAAGTAAAAAAGGTAATTTTTTTGTTTTGTTTTTTTTTGGATTTTTTCGATTTATTATGTTAGGATAGACAAAGACAAATCCAATAAAGCAAAAATCATAAAAATCAATCCAGCCGTTCTCGAGTTATAAGTGCTTCCACAAAACACAACTGTGTTTTATATATATAGATTAAGAACAGAAAAAAATCGTTAAGATACATTCCCATACAAAGAAGAACAAGAGTATAAGTAAAATATAAAGTAACATAATAGGGGATGCAATCTCTAGCATGGCGAAGTCTAGCTTGAAAGCTACTCAAACTCAACCATGTCCAGTGATATGCATACACCCCACATATCAATGAAATGTACCATCATAATATTCCCTAAATAACTAAACAGTATATCTAAATAAAAAGCGCAAATATGAGTAAATATTTAAATTTAAATATTTAACTATACATTACCTTGGAATTTTAACGAATAATATATATAGTTTTAAGATAGTCCCGAGACACCAGCGCACCACCCTCTGCCATCAGCAACTAAGTTAGGTGAGGGAATTAACCTGCTCCTTAAACAATATAGAACGGTATTCACGCTTGAAACTTGTGATGACATGAGGAAGAGAATTATAAAGCTTAATAGCATTATAAATAAAACCCCTTTGAAATAAGGTTTTGTGTCGTGGTATTGTAAATTTCTTGTTTGATCTGATGTTCCTATTATGTACATTATTGCGGGGAATAAACTTATTCTTAAGTAACACAGTAGCATGAGGGGAGGTGAAGAATGGAATGGATGAAGAAAATTTCCAAAATGATGAGTTCTCCGATTATCCATGTTGAGCCAGTTGCAGTGAACGATCTTATGAGAGATCCGATCATACTTTCTGAGATCGTAAAGAAGTCTACAGCAAGAGTTTTGAATTTTTTGTATCCTATATCGATCCAGTGCGTACAAAAAATTACCATAAATGAAATCACAGTAACTGAACCGTGATAGCACCAAACTGTCACACAACATCCGTTTCAATTGACGACTTGAAATATCCCGATTGGAATAAATAAGCTTGAGAGCACAATATGCTTTGCTCATGACACTTTTAATATGTTCTTGGAATCGCAACTCTTCATCAATAATAAGTCCAATATTACGCGCAGAAGACACAAACGGTAGAGGTACGTTATCTATATGAATAAACAGGTTACTCTTGACAAAATTACTACCTTTGGCACTGCCGAAACAGATAGGATTAGACTTTTTAGAACTTAAAATCAAATTGTGCTCCAAGGACAATAATTTTATGTTTTGGAGTTCTCTGTTAATTAATTCTTCAGCCTCAAGAATATTAGTCAGCTTAAAAGAAAAATAAATTTGTGTCATCAGCATAGGCTATCACTCTACAATTTTTAACAGCTTTTATGATATCACTTGTATTTAAAATGAAGAGAAGTGGAACCAGTATTGAGCCTTGAGGAACCCCGGAGTAATCAGCAATCGGGTCAGAAGATATTCCACCAATCTCAACCCTTTGAAGACGCTGGGGATATGTAGGAACGCATTAATTCCACCGAGTGAGGTTGAAAACCATAGAATTTTAATTTGGAATAAAGCAAACGATGAGCAAGAGTGTGAAATGCTTTGGAGAAATCTAGAAGAACAAGAGCAGAGGCAAGCCCCTAATCAGAAGCAGCAACTATATCATCGATCACCGCAGCCAAAGTCGAGACTGTACTAAAATCTTTTCTAAAACCACACTGTGCGTCAGGAAGAATATTTTTGTCAAGGAGATATAGGCCAAGCAATGAAGGAAGTTTACCTCAGCATAATTAGAAGTTAACATTTTTTTGGGGGGAACGGTTCATTTTCATGTGCTTAATAACATATTAAGTTTGCGACCTTGTACTTCCATAGGGTTTTTTAGTTAAGGGTGGTTTTAAGGGGTAATTTGCGGTTTATGGAGAACGCTGCACAAAGGGATGGTCCAATAGCAAAAAAGTTTCAAATTAATGTTGTAGCTGAAGTTTTTTTGCTATAAAAAACTCAGCGACAGCACCATTCTATCTTCTATAGTTTTTTTTTCTGCAGCGTCTTGAATACTAGCGTGTTTTTATTCAAGGTCACTGAATCAACGTTTCACCTGTTTGCGCGCGTTTGATGCAGCAACTGCTAAATGCATAATCCGATTTCAATTTTTTAAACGCCACATTATTGCTAATGAAATGTACTTTCCAATGCTTTTTTGTTCGAATTTTTTGCTTGAAAATTAAGCGAGCACGGACTTGGCTAATGTGCGAGGAAGTTGTAAATTGCATCGAAAACTACCCCTTTCTTGCATTCACTGTAATTTTTAAACGGGGCGAAATATTTGGTGACAGTTTTCGACAATCGGCAACCCATTTATTCCACTCATATTGCCCCAGCGGATTTTTTTTTTCGTTAATTACTCAATGACTTATTGGCCTGAACACGTCGCGCGGAATTTTTCAAAAAGTCGAAAAAAATTAAAATTGTCGCACGGCGCTGAAATTTGGTATGATGGCTTTTTTTTATTGCTTTTATGGATATACTGAAATTTTAATTGCTTCACATGACTGCTGCTGCAATCATTAAAATTGCAGTATATTCATGAGAACAATAAATAATGCCATCGTACCAAATTTCAGCGCTGTGCGACAATTTTACTTTTTTTTCGACTTTTTGAAAAATTCCGCGCGACGTGTTCAGGCCAATAAGTCATTGAGTAATTAACGAAAAAAAAAATCCGCTAGGGCAATATGAGAGGAATAAATGGGCTGCCGATTGTCGAAAACTGTCACCAAATATTTCGCCCCGTTTAGAAATTACAGTGAATGGAAGAAAGGGGTAGTTTTCGATGCAATTTACAACTTCCTCGCACATTAGCCAAGTCCGTGCTCGCCTAATTTTCAAGCAAAAAATTCGAACAAAAAAGCATTGGAGAGTACATTTCATTAGCAATAATGTGGTGTTTAAAAAATTGAAATCGGATTATGCATTTACCAGTTGCTGCATCAAACGCGCGCAAACAGGTAAAACGTTGATTCAGTGACCTTGAATAAAAACATGCTAGTATTCAAGACGCTGCAGAAAAAAAACTAGAGAAGATAGAAGGGGTGCTGTCGCTGAGTTTTTTTATAGCAAAAAACTTCAGCTACAACATTCATTTGAAACTTTTTGCTATTGGACCATCCCTTTGTGCAGCGTTCTCCATAAACCGCAAATTACCCCTAAAAACCACCCCTAACTAAAAACCCTATGGAAATAAAAGGTCGCAAACTTAATATGTTATTGAGCACATGAAAATTAACCGATCCCCCCCAAAAAATGTTTACTTCTAATTATGTTGAGGTAAACCCTCTTTTTAGATCTCCGGTTCTTGGACTAATAGGCATATATTTGATTGTGAAGAATTTTTTTAAAGACCTTTGATATTGTTGGCAGAAGGCTGATAATTCTAAGATCTCCAAAATTTTGAGGATTACTATTCTTTGCCAGTGGTTTGCCAATTGACAGCTTCCAACAACTTGGAAAATAATTATCGAGTATACAGCAGTTTATAATATGCAGGATGTAAACATCTAACGGGACTGCACTGTTTAGGCATATATGAAGATATATTGTCAGAACCATAAGCATTAGTTTTGATTCCATGTAGGACTCTATGCAGTTTTTCAGTTGTGGTAAAACTGAATGAGAACGTGTTGCTAAGAAAAGAAAAATTATCATAATATTCAATTTTATTATCAAAGTTATTCGATAATTTTTGAATGAAATTACCAAAATATTTATTTATTTCATCAGGGTTGGACAGTTCTGGGGGAAGAGTTCTCTTATTATTAGAGTGTAAATTAAGGGAAGCCAGAGCTTTCCACGTTTTAGAGGGGTTTTTTTCCCCACAGACATTTTGGAGATAGTCTCTTTTAGCTTGCCTAACCAGAGACACAGTATGATTGCGCAGCTGCTTGTAGTGATTCCAATCACTGACAGATCTAGTTCTTTTGAATGTAGATAATGCATTAGCACGCAACTTTTGAAATCGTTTTATAGTGTCGTTCATCCACTCAGCCTTGGGCTTTGACACTCTTAAAACTTTTAAAGGGGCATGCTTGTTAAAACGACTCACAATTAGCTCATTAAAAATACCAATCTTACGGTCGATACTTTTTTCATGATAAATTTTATAAAAATGTGCATTAATCAAATCAATATAAAAGGTAGCTGAATTAAAATTTGTAAAACATCTGTTTTGACTTCCTTGGGTTTAGGCTTAGTAAACGTTGTTTTAAGAGTTACAAAAACAAGATGATGGTCAGAGATATTATCACATGACACTGTACCACATGATATCACTGAATTGTGGTTAGAAATCAAGATCGGGGTCGATCAAGGTGCTGGAGTGCAAAGTCACCCTTATAGGATCATTAAGAATTTGAGAAAGTCCATATGATTCAACACAGTGCAGTACTGGACTTTGTAAATTAAAAAAAATAATATTAAAATCGCCCAAAATAATAATATCATCAAAACTCAGGGTAATTATTGATAAGATGTTATCAATATCACTAATAAAATTATTTATATTCGTATTTGGGGGCCTATATATTACACTGAAAAGATTTTTATTTGGTAGTTCAACTTTCAGGAAAAAAAACTCAAGGCTGTCGGAAATCGATATATCAAGATTATATATTTGTGCACTAAGAGCATCCCCAACACATGCATATACACCTCCTCCTCTACCAGGTGGCCGATCCTCGGGCCAGGGAGTAGAGCTCCCCGAGAGAACAAATTTTTCGTCTTTATCATTCACATTTACTTTTCGGTTACGTTGACAAGGACAAAACATTCGTTCTATCGGGGAGATCTACTCCCTGGCCCGAGGATCGGCCCACAGCTCTATCCTTTCTGAAGAGAGTATAGACTGGCAGCGCAATCGCATCATCAACCGTATTGGGAGAGAGCCAGGTTTCCGTCACTAGTATAATGCCAAAATCGTGATCAAGAACAATTAGAAAAATCATTAAATCCAGTAAATACCCATCTAATTTAAGATGAGCTATCCTCATTGAGATTAAATAGTCAGCAGGAAATAAAAACAGTGTCAAGCTGATAATGGCATACCAGATTGATTATAAGTAGAGTCTAAGATTTAAATGAAATAAAACTGATAGGTAATAAATATAAATATCGGAAAATATAATAGCAAAGAGCTGAAACGGGCCTACTACGGTAAGCACGCTGATGCCAATTATACCAACCCAATATAAAGAGAAAATAAAACAAAAAATAATAATAAACCAACGCAATGGTGAAAAAAAAGAGTAAGTAGGTAAAAGCTTACAATACACAAAAAAACTGAGAGATTCCTACTGCAAATAGAAGTAAAATATCCCTTCTGAATGCTAATGTTTGCATAGACATGTTTTCAAGAAGTAAAAAAAACTATACTCACTGCTTTTTTGTTTTTGCATAGCCTGGCATATACTTATATCCTCTTTAAGAGCCGTCTGAAAATAGTGACAAGCCAAATGGTGTTTTCCTAGGGCATGGTGCAGAATTCCCATATTATTGTTGAGCATTATTTTGAAAGATTCTCCATATTCACTGAAACATGAATAAAAGGGTTAGTATTTCAATTTTCTAAACCGACCCTAAGCACAACAAAATTCAATTTGCAAAAATTTTGGCCATCACTTACTGATAATTATTCAGTGTGTCTTCTGGTATTGATGATAAAATTTTTAACGATTCATTTATATTGCCTTCAAGGTACTTCACATTAGCTGCTAAAAATACTAGTTCGATTTTCTGAAAAAATTGTTATGTAAACCTACTTGAATTTTATGATGGTGGTGTGCATTTACTTACTGTTTTGTCTTTGAAAATAACTGAAAGCTCCTTAGATGCAAGGGTTAAAGAACGGTTTAGTAAATAGCATCTAACTTTATACTTGGACAGTTTTTTTTGAAAATCTTCAGAAATGGGCTTGGGTTTTGGTAGAGGCAACTAGAATAGAGAAGAAATAATTATTACTATTATTATTATAACCGTTAACTGATATACCTAACCTTTTTCTCTTTTCCGCCAAGTTTATCAAGTTTTTTCAATGGTATACTTCCGCCGTACATTAAATTATTTTCAAGGTAACTGATTAGTCTCAGTGCTTTTTCTGGTCTTCTAAGGCACAACTGCAACTCAATGGCTAACAGGCTCACTTGTTTCACCAAACTTTCCTCTATAAAATTTTAAAAATTAATTACCAAGCCTTGCAAAATAAGACCAAGTCCAACTTCCATTGGCTTATAGGCAAGTGATTTGAGTAAAATTCGCTGCAGAAATACTGAAGGTTTCAGTTTGTTTTCATAGAAATATTTGACAATGTGTAAGAATAGGGTCCGTTACACTAGCCCCCCCCCTCGGTTTCCCAATAAGCTCAATATTATAGCATCCTATTGCACCCACCTAGCACCCAACTTACAGAGCTAGCACCACATCCCCTAGCGAGTTATAGAACATTTTCACCGGGGGAGGCTAATGTAACGCGAGCGCCCCCCCCCCCCCCCCCGGTTATCCAACAGGTCCAATTTTTAGCACCCTATTGCACCCACCTAGCACCACCTAGCACCCAACTTACAGGGCTAGCACCACACCCTCCAGCGAGTTATAGAACATTTTCACCGGGGGGGGCTAATGTAACGTGATTGTGATTTTTCTACGAACAGACCTAATGTAACGCGAGCCCTACCCTCCCTCTGTTTTCATATTTCTGTTTAAACTATTAGCACTGTCCACCATACACCTAAGCACTACCTAGCACCCGACTTACAGGGCTAGCTCCACACCCCTTTGCGAGTTGTAGAAAATTTTTCTCGTCTGTTATTGCCGGCCTCATTGCGTTCGGCAGGCAAATTTACAGACTCGTCACAAAAGTATCATTTTTACTCCTAATAAAACAATATACTATTTTTATTTCCTCTTTGTATAATTTTTTCCAATTACTTTAACACAAATAATGTCTTTGCATTGCCGAAATCCTATCGAAAATGTCATAATATACCGTAAGTACCATTAAAGATTCTAAAGTTGCCGTCACTTGATCGATACTGTTCAGTGATGAAATTAGATGAGACATGAAGAAGCGGCAAAAGAAGTTACCTAGATCCTCAAAATTTCAATTATATTAGGTGACACGTTCCGGAATTATCACCTAGGTCAAACGTTGTGAGACACCCTGTATAAATAGATGTGGTGGAAAAAAAAAGAAAAAAATTTTCCTAATTTAATCTACAGTGTGAACCACTCTTAATGAATACACCCAGATATCTCAGTTAATAATATTGCTATTGAATTCAAATTTTGGAGGTGATGGATGATGGAAAAATGAAGTATGTGACATAGTAAACATTATATCTATCATTGGCGTGCGGTGTTGGGGCGTAAAAAGGGGTTGTTCTTTTTGGGAAAAAGATATTAGGGCTTATTTTAGATAATTTTTTGTATCAGATTAAGAATCAGCACCCCCAAAAACGCCTTAATTTATATTTTCAAAATTTCAAAAACTGATTTTAGCAACAAAAAAAATAGTACATTTGTTTTAATTCACTTTTTCTAATAAGTTGTTTAGGTCTTGGTAACAAATATTTTTTAAAAAACCTATAACTCGCTGGGGGATGCGGTGCTAACTCTGTAAGTTGGGTGCAATAGGGTCCTAAAAAATTGGACCTGTTGGAAAACCGGGGGGGGAGGGCTCGCATTACATTAGCCCCCCCCCCTGATGTTTTCAACATTTCCAATTTCTAATGAAAAATGCGAGAAAGAATGTTAAAAGTTTAAAACAACCCCTTTTTACCCCCCAACACTGCACGCCAATGGTAAATAAATAAAAATGTCTACGATGTCAAATACTTCATTTTTCTAAAGGTGCGTCCAGACTAGAGTATTCAGGCCGAATGAGCACCGCTGAATGAGCAAGTTGAGGCAAAATAAATACACAGCAACAACTTCCTCATGTGGTTCGAACACTCGTCCACAGTCCACACTTGAATCCTCATTCTGCCTCGGCATGCTCAGTGCTTGCTCATGCGGGCCGAAAGCTCTAGTCTGGACGTACCTTTACATACAATAATCTTTAAAAATTGAATTAAATCGTGTCACATTAGCCCTCCACGATGAAAATGTCCTATAACTCGCTGGGGGATGCGGTGCTAACTCTATAAGTTGGGTGCTAGGTGGGTGCAATAGAGTCCTAAAAAATTGGACCTGTTGGAAAACCGGGGGGGGAGGGCTCGCATTACATTGACCCCCCCCCCCCCCACCCCGGTGAAAATATTCTATAACTCGCTAGGGGGTGTGGTGCTAGCTCTGTAAGTTGGGTGCTAGGTGGTGCTAGCTGGGTGCAATAGGGTGCTAAAAAATTGGACCTATTGGAAACCGGGGGGGCTCGCGTTACATTAGCCCCCCCCCGGTGAAAATGTTCATTAACTCGCTGGAGGGTGTGGTGCTAGCCCTGTAAGTTGGCTGCTAGGTGGGTGCAATAGGGTGCTAAAACATTGAGCTTATTGGGAAACCGGGGGGGGGGGGGGGGGGGGGGGGGGCTAGTGTAACGGACCCGTAAGAATAACAAATCCAAATTTTGCAAATACAGATAAAAAAATTGCAAGTTATGCCTACAAATATTGCTTTTCTGATCCCTTTAGGAAGTGAAAAGTTTCTAAAATTCTGACAATTCAGATCTTGTTTGAAAACAAATATAGTTAGTAATTTTACTGAAAAGAAACTGAACTAAGGCCGGCCTCACACAGCCGGAATGTCTTTCTGAATTCAGAAACGGAATTCAGAATCTGAATTCATAACGTATGAAATTGTATATATTTTTATTATACACCCTCGATACAGCACACACATGCTGATTTTTTTAGTTATGAGCTTTTCATATCGATCTGCCAGAGTGACTCTGATGAGCGTTTTGAATCCGAGATCTGAAAAATTGAGACTATAATTCATATTGCATGTTTTTCGATATGTTTCAAATATACAAGTTCACAAGCTGGAATTCAGATTCTTCCCTTCCAACAAATACCGCTCAAAAGATGCCGCAAACAACAAGAATATTGGTCATGGAATTGTTAAGATATGTGTACAGTATTGTGTCACAATTCAGATCCTGAATTCTGTTCCTGAATTCAGAAAGATATATTTACCCATCGGTTCAATAAATTTATAAACCGTATCCATCATATTTTGCGCTGCATTGTACTGTTTCTGGTGGAATAGAACGACAACCTGATTGAATAGTGCTATGCAATAGTCGATTTCTTCCAGCTTTTCAACTTTTATATGAAACTAAAAGAAAATTAACTGATGAAAATAGTCCAAATTATACAAATTGACGATAATGGTTATGTGAATAACAAAAAAAGTCTTTTTGGGGAAATAGTTTATAGTGAATGTATTTTGATGAGTTTTTTTTTAAATTTTCTTGTTACACTTAGGGATGTAAAATGACGGTCATTTATTTTTTGTGATAGATGACAACCATTTTTTTGTCATTTATTGTCATTTATGGTCATTTAATTTCAATGTAGAACATTACATTACTTAAATCAAGAATCAGCTGGAACTTTGTAACGGATTGATGTCAATGATATCGTTATCCCTATCGCTATAGCACTTGCTGTCTTCTTCTCTCTTGTCGAAATCAATAGAGAGGAGACGTCAATAGAGATAGGGAAAATATCTCTCTATTCGTTACAGAGTCGCGGCCCTGATGTCTGATTGGTTGAGTCTTCTTCAGTTTCACAGTCATCATCATCAAAGTCATCTAATGAGTTAGAAAGTACAATTTCCATCTCCTCTATTAGATTAACAGTTAAAATCGAGCTTAAAATAGAATGTCGGCTGATATTTTTATGACACTCTGACAGTCATATATTTTAATGACGGTCAGTTATTATTTTGACAGTCAGAAAATTCAATTGATAAAAACATAAATGACGAGAGTGTCATAAAAATAAATGACCTGACCGTCATTTTCATTTTGACTGTGACATTGTCAGAAAAATTTGCTCACATCCCTAGTTACACTAATAGTTTTTTAATTGTTCCTCTATCTAAACTAATACCAATTGAATAGTAACCTAAAAAGTATAGTAGTAGTAGCTACGAGGAGTAGTAATAAAAATAAAAAATAACAGATAAATATAAATACTTCATTTTAAGCCTATCATATTTTTTCAAATGATTTGCCATTAAGGTAATTTTTTCAGCTTGTCCATAACATTTTGATTTGTCAAATATATTATGTACTTAGTAGAATTATGAAAAAAGTGTGGAAAACTCAATGTAGTTTTTTTTACTTTCACCAAGCACTATTGCCTTGAATTGTGAAATTCAATTGACAAAGCGAAAACCATTATAAGTATGCATAAAAAAACACAGAAAAGGAAATTAAAAAACAAAACAACTAAAATTATATAAAACAAACAAAAATGAAAATAAGATTTTCGAAAAATCGACAATGAAAACAAAAATGAAAATACCTACATTATTAACAAAATACCACCCAAAAATGGATTATAAAAATCAGGGGGTCAACCACGCAAGTTAATCGGTGTGCAAATTGACCGTAATATGTTGGTTATACTTGGAAATATGGTAATACTAGTAATACTTTGTTTATACTAGGTAATAGCTGGTAATACCAGGTAATAGCATAGTAATACTTGGTTATACTTCAGTAATATCTGTCAATACTCTGGTAATACTTGAAATCTTATAGGAAGGGGTTTGCGCCAAGTGATAAGTATTGGTCGACATTAGGTTTGAAGCCTGTTTATTCCTGTTTATTTAGTGAGATGCGAGATTGTATAAGTAGGTGTATATATTTTTTTGAAAATGTGAGTATATTTTGTTTCAATATTACTTAATTTAATTCTGAGTTTAATTTAATATTAAAGGCATTTTTATACATTTTAAATCGTCAATGGTACCATGTCTGTCAACCCAGCATGGCAACCCCAGCAGAATACGAAAAAATTTAGTTGAGAAGTTGTTGCTATTTTGTTGCAATTATTTTCCATATTTTTGATTTTTTTACTCTTGCCGATCTTGAAAAAATGCAAACTCTGCTAGCTTGATATCAAGCTAGCAGAAATGTTTTCAACGAGGTTTTCAATTTCCTGGCAGAATTCGAGAAATTTAAGTGGGGAATTTGTTCCTATTTAGTTGCTAATTATTTACCATAGTTTTGATTTTTTTACTCTTACCGATTTCGAAAAAATGCGACTCTGCCAGCTTGATATCAAGCTAGCAGAAAAAATATCAATTTCAATAAAAAAAAGTGGTAAATTTGTTGCTAATTATTTACCATATTTTTAACTTTTTACTCTTTGCCGATTTCGAAAAAATCGAGGGGCAAACCACTCCTCTAAAAAATGTACATGTATTGCGGAAATTCTATGTTTTCTTGGCAATCATTGCGATTTCCAGTGCTGCCATGAGAATTTAAGAGATTTCGAAGATTGCCATGAAAATCCAAACGATTTCCAAGATTGCGGGACTGCAAAATGATTATTGCAGGACTGCGGAAGGGATTGCAAAAAAAATACTTGCGATTGCCACATTGATTTCGAGTGATTTCGGAGGCTGCGACAAGAAATTCAGACACGCCCTTATGACCGCATTCACAAGAATTCCGCGACTGCGAACATGATTTTCGCGACTGGGATCATGATTTCCGCGACTGCGAACGTGATTTCTGCGAATGCGAAGAAGAATGCGGGATTTCGGACTATTTTGGCGACTGTCTAATGAAGACTACAGGATTTCCTTGTGATTTCGAAGAAATTTAAATAAAATTTACATGTGTTGCGGGGAGTAGGGCAAACCACTCTTCTTAAAAATGTACACGTATTGCGGAAATCCTATGATGTCTTGGCAATAATTGCGATTTCCAGGGCTGCCATGAGAATTTAAGGGATTTCGAAGATTGCCATGAAAATCGAAATGATTTCCAAGATTGCTGAAATAATCGCAATAATTTCCAAGATTGCGGGACTGCAAAATGATTATCGCAGGACTGCGGAAGGGATTGCGAAAAAAATACTTGCGATTGCCACATTGATTTCGAGCGATTTCGGAGGCTGCGACGAGAAATTTAGACACGCCCCTATGACCGCATTCACAAGATTTCTGCGACTGCGAACACGATTTATATGACTGCGAACATGATTTTCGCTACTGCGAACGTGATTTCTGCGAATGCGAAGAAGAATGCGGGATTTCGGGCTATTTTGGCGACTGCCTAACGGAGAATGCAGGATTTCCTTGTGATTTCGAAGAAATTGTAATAAAATGTACATGTATTGCGGGGAGTGGTTTGCCTGTCGGAAAAAATGAAATAATACCAGCCTGACATTCAAGCTACCGGAAAAATGTTATTATGTATTATTTTTATTTTTAATCAAGTTAATTATGCATGAAAATCTATGGCTATTTTATTGATCAGATAATTAGCGATAGTCACAATACAGGGTGTTCCGAAATTAATGCACCAAATTGTTATGGCATATTCCACGTCGAAAATAAACCCCAGTTACCTATAAACATAAGTCCGGAAAACCTTGCTTTCCGAAATACCTACCGGGTGTTGAAATTCTAAGAAAAAAACTATGTTTTTATCATAAGTTTCAAACCACTCTAGATATTTCATTGGAATTTTGTACACTGCTTTCAAGCAGCAAAAGATTTTTTGATGTGTGAATATATATTTTTTTTAAAATTATCAGTGGCGTCCTACCAGATTTGTAAGAAATATTTTTTAAGAAAAAAATGGTACGTCACTGGTTTTTTAAAATAAAAATAATTTTTGAAATTCCCATTCAATTTGGAACAAATTTGATCTCTTCACTTTTTTCTGAAAAATGCACCGTTTTAAAGTAATACAATAAAAAAACATTTTGATTCATGGCGAAATCGCCAAAATTATGATAAAAATGTTAAACAATAAACACCTAAAGTTTCAGATTACTTTTGTAACGTCACTGGTATTTTTTTTTTAATACTTCACATCAGAAAATGTCTTTTGCTGCTTGAAAGCAGTGTACAAAATTTCAAAGTGGTATGAATTATGACTTGAATTATGATAGAAAAATAGTTTTTTTCTTAGAATTTCAACACCCTGTATCTCAGAAAGGAAGCGTTCCGGACATATGTTTATATAGGTATCTTGGGCTTATTTTCGACGTAGAATAATGCCATACAAATTTGGTGCATTAATTTTGGAACACTCTGAATATGATACATTTTTGAGCTGATAATAATATATATTATTTTCAAACGTCATATAACAGTAATTTTTGTGATTTTTTTGACAAGGTTTAAGTGTCACTTATATGACTTTCAGCTTGAGTGGCGTATAACAGTTATACGCCGTTACACGTTTTCCCATAACGATTTAAGGTAGTTCACCTGTACACTCTACATACAGGTATAGGTGCTTATAAAGGTGATCTTTCTAAATATGGATGTCATAATTTAGTAGTAGTAGTAGTAGTAGTAGTACACATGCTTTATTGTCCAAGAAACTCTAAATCTTATTGACAAAGCAAACTTAATTTAAAACACTTAAATCTATTCATTATTAAAATTACAAATTAAGTATCTACATATAAAAACACTCAGAGTAAAAAAAGCAAGAACAATAGAAAAACAAAAATATCTGACAAGTGATAGCTTCATATTTCTCAACAAACAGATAAAAAGCTATGATAAAAAAAGATTAGCAACTAATTTGGTTAATATGCACCCAGGTCTTTCTATATTGTCTATGGAGAGAAATAAATAATTAGGAAAAAACAAATGAACAGTCCAAAATAGAAAAAAAAACAATATATATAAATAGTTTAAAATGAGAAACAGTACTTAGGTAATTAGTATAATATATTTGAAAGTTTTCGTAAACTCATACAGAAGGAAAACACTATCACACAATGAACAACAGAATATAACCAGGTGGGGTTCAATAGATAGCTTTTCAGTAGGTCCTTGTTTCACGGAAGGAGAAATTAAGAAATTCCTCAATAGAATAAAATGCTTGTGCAACCAGAATTTCCTTTAGTGCTTTTCGGAACTTGCCAAGATCCGACATGGACAATAGGCTATCAGGTAAGTGATTATAAATCTTTAGGCTGTTGTAAATAATTGATTTTTGTACCAGTGTGGTATGAGGAGTAGGAAGAGGTATAGCATTTATGTTTGTTTGTCGTGTGGTTCGAGATCTCTGGGTAGCTGGAAACAGATGAAGATTTTTATGTATTAGACTAACAGTTTCTAGAATGAACAGTGAGGGGGGAGTTAGGATTTTATGGAGTACAAATAGTGGTCTACAATGAGTTCTTATCGGGGCACATGTAATGAACCTTATCGATCTTTTTTGCAGTTTAAAAACAGAGTCAAACAAGTATTGACTACAACATCCCCAGAAAGGTAAGCCGTATGCAAGATGTGACTCAAACACCGCATGATAGACTGATTTTGCAGTTTGTGAACCTAAGTGGGTAGCTACGGCTCGGACACAATAACACCCTGAAGCGAGTTTTTTGCTTAGTGATAAGATATGTGATTGAAATTTTAGACTGACGTCGATCTGAAGTCCAAGAAATTTAGTACTTGTGGAAGATTTAATTAAGAACTGATCACAAACAATATCATCCATATTACAGCGAAAACCCAGTACTTGAGCCTTGTTAAAGTTAAAAAGAAGCCCATTTGCGTCACACCAGTGTTTAATTTTAACCAGATCTTGAGAAATTATCCGAACCAACTCTCGCGATACCCCTCCATGCCACAAAACCGTTGCATCATCGGCAAATGCCGCAAATATCTCTGATATGTCTATGTGTAATAGGTCATTGATATAGGTAGAGCAAAAACAGGATCGGTCCTAAAACCGAACCCTGTGGTACTCCGTGGTCAATAACCTGGCTAGTGGAACATTCGCCGTTCACCCTGACACACTGAGTGCGGTTGGTTAAGAAGGACTCGAACCAATTTAGGACAACTCCCCTAAAACCGTAAGCTTCCAGCTTTCGCAGCAGTGCTCTGTGACACACACAGTCAAAAACCTTGGAAAAGTCACAGAACACCGCTGCAGTAGCATAGCCATTATTGTAATGTCTGAAAAGTTGCTCCATTACTTTAAGCATAGCGTCGTGTGTATTTCTTCTGGGAAGAATGCCAAACTGAGCACCATTGAAGACATCATGGCACATCAGAAAATCCATCATGCGTTTTTTGACAAGTTTTTTAAGTAAATTAAAAATTCTGCACTATTCGGAATAGAGATTGTTTGAAAATAAAATATTGTATTTCATTCGGAGTATGAGTAATCTTCATGTGATTTGCATGGATTTGTTTAAACTTCCATGCGCGTCACATAAGTATTACTTATACTCCTAATAAAATAAATATCTATTTAACTGTTTATGGACCGGTTACTATTTGGAGTTTTTTTGATTGGTAAATATTTATTTACCGCTAGCAGAATAGAATGAGTCTATATTATAATATAGAGCGATTTAGAGCAATATGGAGACTTCTTGACTCAGTCGTAATTATTTATTTACTGCCAGCAGAATCACATAATCTAGTAATATAAAACGACCCAGACCAGGGGGCGGATTACGAACTCTCGATTCGAACCGAAACCGCCATGTTACACCGAAATTTTGATTTCGAACGCACTCCATGCGAATGCATTTCAACGAAAGTCACTCGACTGGTCGATGCGTATTCACTTTCGTATCGAGTGTTCGTTTCGAGTCGTGTTTTCGCAATCCCCCGCAGCATCGATCGATTTTGAGTCTTTGTGACTGTTAAAAATATTTATTTAGCTTCAGCAAAATCTTATTTTATAGTAATATAATACAACGACCCAGACAAGCATCTATCGATTTTGAGTCTTTTTCACTGGTGAATATTTATTTTCCGCTAGCAGAATCAATATTATCTAGGGTTATAAAACGACCCAGACCAGCATCGATCGATTTTGAGCCTTTCTGACTGGTAAATTTTCATTTACTAGCTAGCAGAATGAGTCTATTCTATATGATAATATAGAGCGATTCAGATACGTCTATCAAGTTAGCAATACTTTGTTGTTCCGAAAAGACTAATAAGGATAATAAAGAAAATTGACTACCTTCAGAGCTGTAGATCAGTACATATTTAAATGTATGGGTGTTATGACAGTATATGCAGTGTACATTTATGAATACTTAATGTTCTTCTTTCGCAATAAACACCCTTTTGATAGTAAAACGGAACACTAACATAACACGAGAACATTGGATTTAAGTACAAGCCACATAGACTTACTACATATTTTTCTACTGCTATTTTAAAATGCATTTATTACAATGATTAAAATCTGTTTCATGATGAACTTCATTATGATACAGATTTTTCAGCCACTGGAATCGAGTTATTTTGAACATGAACAATGCTTATGTAAAAATAACAGACTTGTTTTGGATTGTTTCTGTTTGAGTTTCTATTAGTATTTATCAAAAGAAACAACAAAAAATAAATAAATCAGGTGCAGAATTTATGCCCAAATGACGTCTAGATCTCAATTTTCGAAATTGTCAATAGATAGCACCACCAGTTGAGAAGTTTACTATTCTCAAAATAAATATGTATTTCGTTTATTAATGGAAGTAGAAAAAATAGTGTATGCACCTCTCATGTAATGACCATCAATACACTCGCATGTTTCGTATCGTACAACATGCTCGTGTATTAATGGCTTACATGATCATTGCATAATATAAATATAATATACTATTACGTTGAAAAATTCTGTGTATAAAAAAGCTATAGGTCATATTATTGTTAATACCTACAAGAAATGCAATGCATAGAAGTGCCTTCCGACAAAGCCTTAGATATGCATCACTAACCCAAACTAACTTTTTTTTTTTTTAATTAGATATGATGATTGAGATGATGATTTATGAACATTTCAAATATGTAATGTTCTTTTATCTTCATCTAAAGCTGGCAGTGTACATGTTTTTTTTTTAAAAAAAAAAGGAGCATTGAACTTCCAATTAGTGCATTTAATTCTGGTATAATTTAATTTTTTTTCTGCTGACCTTGATCTTCCAGCTTTAGGGATATTGAAATTCCCTTGGAAAGTCCATTATCTTTGTCTGATTTAGAACCAGGTTATCAATACAGAAATGGTTAGATAAAAGATAGGTACCAAGCATCATTCATAATCAGTGTGTAACTTCATCAGCAAACTCGCAGTGAAGAGTTGTTAAGTCATCCAATATATCATTTACATAAATCAGAAAAAGGAGGGAACCAAAAACACTGCCATAGGGTACACCGTACACCAAGCTCAACATGTAGCTGGTTAGACACAACTCTGTTACAATGCAGCACATTGCTCATGTTTACCATTACAGATATATGATTCTAATAATAGGTATCAGTTATGGCGAATTCCATAGACTTGAACTTTTTGCAGTCTATAAACATTTTAGACAAGGGTTCAGAAATAGTTGATCTTTTGTTGGGGAATCCATGTCGAGTGTTTAACATTGAATTATTTGACTTCAAAAATTTTAAAGAAGCGATTGCATAAAATGGTGTCTGCATGAATCTTTGTGACCGGCATTAATAATAGCATGAACTGAGGAATATTCTTTGACTGAGGCATGAACAGTCTTCTTGAGATCAAAAATAAAACAGAATCTCTCTCCAATCTTTTTAACATTTATTGAGCAAAACTGAAGCCAATAAAAAGCCCATCAAAATCTGTCCACTATCAACTTTGTTTCATTGTAAATTTTCTGGATATTCAAACAATTTATGAAAAACTTTCTTATAAAGTATAGGCAAAAGATCTCTACTGGAAAAATTAAAGAATGGGCTAGATCTAAACACGGCACAAAGTAACGTAAGTACCTGATTGCATATATCCAGCATATTTCTCTCAAACTGATCAGTCTTTTTCAGGCCACTCTTAAAATATTCTGCCACAGCCTTATTATGGACAACTTTAAAATCGTTTGGTCGGCTGGTTTCAAGTTTGCTGATGCTTTGAAGGCACGACGAGTAGTTTTTCCTCAAAAACAAATTATTTTATTTTCAATTTCCATAAAGATTATGGGTTTCTTTACTTTTTGAATTCCGCTGTGGCGTTCTGTGCCAATTCCCGCTCCAAATTCGACACCAACTCGGGAGGTTTTTCCTTTTGATCCTTTTCCGACATGATTAATTGAAATGTATGCGATAAACTAGATTTGATATAATTAGTAAAAGGACAAACCTTTCAACCTACCGAACCTAAAAAATTTAAAAAGTTCCAAAGGAAGTAAACAAAAATGGAAATATGAAATATGTCGTCATATGTCAAATGTCAATGTTTGTGTCAATTGTCAATTTCCGACGACCAACCGTTCATTTATTTGAAAAGTGTACTCGGTGCAGGCGCATTCGCGTTCTTTATTAGATTTCTAGCACTCTGATACCTCTGATACCCTCAGGGTCGGTTTCTCAATAGCGAGTTACCTTCGGTCGGGTTGGTTTTAACTCTAGGGCTGGGATCACAACGAGTGGAATTCTACTTTCATAACGTCACCCGCGACCTATTTATCGCATACAGTACAGGCGATGATGATGGTTGCTAGGCAATCTGACGTCATGAAAATAGAATAGGGTACTTGCATGGAAAATTAAATTGCTATTGTTTATTGCAAACTGTAGGAAATCGAAAAAAATCGATGCGTGTTTTTTTATTTCATCCAAATATGATTATTTCGGAAGTTATAAAAATATTGAGTTTTGTATATATAGATATACTGAGCATGTGCGACGTCACAACGTATTATAAGTTATGACGTCCGAGGGACATTTCAAAGCGTTGTATCTCCGTCAATTTTTGACTAACAAGAAAAAGAGAAAAAACACGTGTTGACTTATTTTTCATGGACTATCGAAGTCAGCAATAAAAAAATTTGATGCAAGGGGCCTATTCTACTTGAAGTGATTCCAGCCCGGGGGTGCATTCACGATTCAACAGCCCGGGTTATATTCTACCTTAGTAAATCTTACTCGGGTAGTTGGAGTTACTAAAACGGGATAAGAAACGCCCCGACCAAGATGAATTGTACGGAAGCACGGTCGTGCAATCTGTCTTCTGAGTTCTTAGGGCCATATTCTCCGTAATTCTTAAAGCCTGGCTTAGTGGACACGCTTGGCTTTTTGTATGACAAAGCCAAGCTTTTCCACTAAGCCAGGCTTTATGAACTACGGAGAATATGGCCCTTAGTTCATAGTTCTGACGTCACAACTCGGAATTTCTGATTTACTAAGTCATAACTCGGAATTTCTGATTTACTACGTAAGAAGTCCGTTATCGATGTTATTGTTGTAAATGGTAACCTAAAAATTAGATGTCCGGTTGGATTGTTTTTATTTGCATTTGATGTGATTTTTAACAAAAAAAAAACTGCATAGCAAAACCTTAAACCTCGCCTTAAACATTCTACATGAAGCAGATAATCATCATTTTAGAGGCCTGTGTCCTCTGTCTCTCAGATCTTTAAAATAATGGATCCACCAATTTCTACCAAGCCGTCTCATTTGAGACCATCAACATTCAATTCTTTGATTAGATATATGCTTTTGCCTTGTATAAAACTTTTTTGGCGTACAAGTGTATCGGCGTGAAAATATCAAATATAGGTTTGTGATAGAGCAACCATCGAGAGCAACACAGATATTTTCTGTCCCTAAAGGCGGATATTATAAAACTACCTTGGCAGTTAACTTGAAGTTAACTTGTGGAATTACATGAGAAGTAACGTCATTCCAGAAATTAATTTTTAGTTATTCTGTCAAAATAGTTTTATAATACCAGCCATAAATCAGTTTTCACAGATTCACAGACAAAAAATATTGAAAATTGAAAGAGAAAGATATAACTAGTAGTAGGAGAGCAAGCTGTTCATCCGACTAAGGGTGGGTATTATAAAGCTACTCTGAGAGTTAACTTAAAGTTAACTCATGGAATAACATGTAATTCAAAAAGTTAACTTCAAGTTAACTGTCAAAGCAGTTTTATAATAGTTGTATTCCTTTCAAGAGTTTGAAACACTCGAGCTACTCGCTCCGTGGTGCAACAAACACTTTTCGAAAGGAATAGGGGCGTGAAGCCCCGGAGCTGTTCCGGAGCTCCTCCTAGGTGTGAAAGGAATACAACTATTACCCGACCTAAGGGCGGGTATTATAAAACTGCTTTGACAGTTAACTTAAAGTTAACTTTTTGAATTACATGTAATTCTAGCAGTTAACTTTAAGTTAACTCTCAAAGCTGTTTTATAATACCCGCGCTAAGGGTGGGTATTATAAAACTGCTCTGACAGTTAACTTAAAGTTAGCTTTTTGAATTACATGTAATTCCAGGAGTTAACTTAAAGTTAACTCTCAAATTGGTTTTATAATACCCGTCCTAAGGGCGGGTATTATAAAACTGCTTTGACAGTTAACTTGAAGTTAACTTTTTGAATTACATGTATTTTCAGAAGTTATCTTTAAGTTAACTCCCAAAGTAGTTTTATAATACCCGCCCTAACCCGTTTCCCACAAAGCTAGACATTTTTTAAAATGTTTTATTACTGGTCAATTAAGAAAGTAACGTTCTGGCAGGCATCTCGTCATAATCCCTCAAATGTGACGATAGCAAAGTTGCTATAGGGTCAATCATTTTTCATTTAGGTATAACCTGCTTCCACAAGGCTGAAACTTTGAGGGAATCTTCTTTTATTGATTTAAAAAGTATATGTAAACAACCAGCCTATTCTGGCGGTTGCGGAGTGTCTGTCAGACGAGTATAAGGGCGGGTATTATAAAACTGCTTTGACAGTTAACTTGAAGTTAACTTTTTGAATTACATGTAATTCCAGAAGTTAACTTTAAGTTAACTCTCAAAGTAGTTTTATAATACCCGCCCTAATAGTCATGATGATGCTCGATAGGAGTGCGAGCGCAACAGACCTATACGGGTTCCAATGTCATGTCAGAATGAGAGAATACGATATGACTACTATATACTCGTACTACCATATTCTCAATTCTCAACAAACTAGTAATAAATGAGCATTTCCGAGTTATGACGTAGTAAATCAGAAATTCCGAGTTGTGACGTCAGAACTATGAACTTAGAACTCGGAAGGCAGATTGCACGACCGGGCTTCTGTAGAATTATGTCATTTATCATCTCCACATGTTTTATGTTTTCATTTCGAATGGCGTACATTCGTAGTTTAGTTCTTTTTTGAAGCATCCCGCATCCCGTTCCTTGAACGACTTCCGGACGCTGGACCGCGCATGTATGCAGCCAAAGGTAAACGTGTCTTGAGGTGTTTTCTCGCGTCCCAAAGCTTTGAAACATTTTTCAAAACTAGTTTAAAACAGTTTCACAATTACGTCATAACTTCTCGGTGCGAGAAAATGGTTCAAAAACGTGGATTGGATTGTATTTCGAAGCGGTTTGAACCAATTTTCTTTGACGTAATGGGTTCATCGCGAGAATATAAAGGTTTGTTCCAATCCGTCAAAAAACCGTCCCAGAACGGTTTCGGAACCACTCTGTATACGAAATTCGATTTCTACGCAAAAATTTTAGGTTTTGCGCAGAATCCTGACGGTAATATTACGGGGTTTCCTGCTGGGATGGAACAAAGCTATTTCATACCTGTTATGAACCAGTTTCAAAAAAGTGAACGCGACAAAACAGCTCTGGAGCTATGCTTCACCCGGGGGTGACTTGTTGAGAAATCGGTCTCTAGGGCGGGTATTATAAAACTATTTTTGTTGTATTCCTTTCAAGAGTTTGAAACACTCGAGCTACTCGCTCCGGTGTTTAGTAGCCCCCGATTTGCAGGGAACAGATGCGTGGTGCAACAAACACTTTTCGAAAGGAATAAGGGTAAGCACATAGTGGAGCGACGAGCAAAGTAGTGAGCAGTGAGGAGAGCAAAGCAGCGAAAACTAACACACGAGATTAAATTGTTTGACACATAGTGAAGAGCAGTGCGGAGATTTAGCAGCGCTGTTAATATCGAGCAAAGCGACGCGTTCAAGCAAGTTTGATTTTTCTACTTTGCTCGTTTGTCTCTGTGTTGCAAAAATAGACGTTGAACAATTATTAAGTAGTATTTTTGTTAAAAATCCGTTGTGCAACCAAAGATGAGATACCCAACATCAAATCGATATATATTAGATAAGTTGTGGGATGATGTAGCAAGAAAAATGAAATCAACAATCAAGTGAAAAATGAATTATAATATTAATTGATTGCTGCTGGACCAAATGGGATTATGGTAAAGTTAGTCCATTTTTTCACCAATCTTTGTTCTATTTTCTCCAAAATGTAATTAAAAGTTTTAATAATCATTAAAATATAAGAGTGAATTTTTTCTGGATGTTGCCGTAATTCCTCATATAAATGGTGATATTCGCCTAATCGAAGTTTGCTTCTGTTTATATGGTGTGCACTACCTTCTTTTTTTCTTTCTGTCTTCTCATTAAATACCAAAATTTTTAAAGACGACGTTTCGGTTAAAACCAAATTATTCATTTTTAACTTTCTGTTCCGGAGCTCCTCCTAGGTGTGAAAGGAATACAACTTTTGATAGAAAACTAAAAGTTAAAGCTGGGTTTATACAGGAAATAAATTAAAATAAAATTAAAAGATTGCCTCATGGTACAGTGGCTAAATAAACCTTTACATACAGTGGCGACAATAGAGGTCCCGCCGCCATCTTGTTCCCAACCTCTTGTTACTTTTAAATATTAATATATAGGATTTAAATGGACATCTATCATAAAAAATTGAAGTCGACGTAATTGATGACCATTATTAGGTCCATAAAATACGTTGTTTTCCATGATTTATGATGGATGTTCACCTAAATCCCATATATTTAAAAGTAACAAGGGGTTGGGAACAAGATGGCAGCGTTTTCAATATAAATATATGGCATTTTAGAACCAATCAAAAATGAAACAGCAATTGTCGCCACTGTGGGTTATAGAGTCACTGTACCTCATGGGAACCTACGGTGGCGTTTATACACAAAATATTTCAGGGCCGATTTCTCTAGCGAGTCACCTCCGGGTTAAGGTAGGCGCAGACCGACACGGGACAGCAGCAGCGGGAGCGAGAACAAAACTTTTGCGGGACGTAAATCAACGGCGGGATATGAAGGAATGCATACCGGTACCAAGAGAACGCATGCGATTTGCGGGATGTCTGCGAATGAATTTAGGTTCGCAGCGTGCAGCGTTTTCCCGCAGTTCTCATAGTATGAAAACTATAAAAAAGATTTATTTTTATTACTCATAACTGTGAAATTCGCTCTTTTTTGACATTGCTTTGACAATTTGACGTTTGATTCACGCATAAAACGTCACTCTCTCGAAGCAATGTCAAAAAAGAGCGAATTTCGTAGTTATGAGTACTATGCTTTATTTCTATTGGTCAATATGTCAAATTTAAATATATTCGACCAATAGAAAAATAACCGCAAAATAAAAATCCGCAATTCGCGGTTATGAGTACTAGGCTTTAACTTCTAGAATTTCATATGCTGAATCACGCTGAGTTCGACTTTGCACTCCACGGAGCGGAACGGTATGGACATAAATATGGTGTCGTCATACGCAGTCATAAGCCGAACGCAAAAGAGAACTGAGAGCTAAAGCGAACAGGATCTAATCGTTTCGAGTTCGCCGAGTGTAAAGCCGAAATCAGCCAAAGTAATTTCCAGCTAACTTTCATAGCGTATTTCATTGGTAGAGCAAGTGCAACACTGGTGCAATATTCGTGATCCATTGGCAGAGTCCGCGCTGCACTTTTGTATTTCATTGGGAAAGCAATAATGCACTGAGTTTTGCACTGAGTGTTGTTGGTGCGCCACCGGCTAAAAAGCTCGTGTCGCACTCAATGCAGTTGTTTGTTATTTTTGAAATTGAGGTTATTTGTGGTTGATGGTTTTTCATAAAAAAAAGTCCCAAATTTTTTTTTATTGTGTTTTGTGAAACCAGTGGTTATGAAGAATATTTAGGGCTACTAACAGAGAGGGAAGAACTTTTTTTTTGAATTAAATTATAATAATTATTTATAATAAGCACAAATATCTTCTTTTTTTTTAATGAAATTCCATATTTGAGGTTTGACGTATATTGGGATAGTTCAGTACGATCATGTTTCATTGGGACTGCACGCGTGCAGTTTTTTTCCACCCATCCTCAGTTCGGAGGTGATTAACGATAAACCGATAATTATATGCAACAAAAAAAAAAAAAACAAGCGTTCAAAATTTCATTTGTGATATTTTGTGAGCTGATAGTTTTGCGTTTCGTGATTTAATTTATTTCGAGAAGTGTGGATGGTACGTCCCCAAGAATCGTAAACTAACAGGATTGCTCATCCTCATATGGCGTACGTTCGCACAATTCTTGCGTCGACAGGGTCTGCGAGTGAGGTCACCATTATCAGCAGCTTATAGTGGTGACGTCACCCGCAGACCTCGATGTGATGCTTGTGATTCAGGCTGTGCTTTTGATTTAATTTTTTCGTCGATTTTAATTCTAGAAAAGGTGATTTTATCAAGTTTATCGTTTAGGAATTCATTTTTCTGACCTATACTGTTTTAAACTCGGCTAATGCATTAAACGAAGAGTTGAGGTCTGCGGCTGAAATGGCAGACACTTTCAGCAGTTTCAGCCTATTAAGCAGTCCTACTAGGTAAAGTGTTCCCCATCTGCGTAAAAGCAAAAATGGAAGTGCGCTTTTTCTGCGGTAAATGCGTACCTTTAAAAAAAAAATTTTTCACTCAAACGTAGGCACATGAAATATGTCTAGAACTTTCCTCAGGATTCAGAAATGTCATAATATACAAGGGGTACTATTTAAAAAAATAAAGTGGATAACGGTACAACTGTTCTTGGAACACCCTGTATAAAAAAATAAGTGTAAATTTTACAGATCGGCACATCTGTTCCAGTACGTGTAGTGTTCATTGGTTCGGACACTAGTATGTACGCGCCTTAAGAGTTAGCGGTAACGTACTCGTAGGGCGTCAGCCGCATGCGTCCGCCGTTTCCGTTTCATAGGAAAGGTACTTTTATTTAAACAAACAGCTGATATGATATTGATATCAAATAAACAACAGCAAATTTCAGGTAGAAAGACGAGATTATTTATAGTGTCTCTAATTTTAGAATAGTTAGAAACTATTATTAGAAAAACAAGATCAATTATTTCAATAAAGTCAATAGTGAGTTCTCCAAAACACTAACACAAGTCCAGGAATTTGAAAATATTTATATAAAAATGAGGCAAATAATTTTGGAGAAAATGCCATTGAATCATTTGTTCACTTTATTAAAAGGTAGCTTTTAATAAGACTCGTGAAGCAGGATGGCTCCATCCAAACTCTTTAAGTTGAAAAACGAATCGCAAAATCCTAATGTGAAGAAAAATAAGTTTATTTCTGGTGAACCAGGTGACAATATATCTTATGACTTCGCTGCAAAATTGTTTGGAAATTTGAACTTGTTAAGGAGAGACAAGAGATTCTGTGATGTTGAAATCAAATTGGGCAACAAAATATTCAGTGTAAGTTTTTCAAGTTACCTACTTATAATAATTTTCATCATCTCTATTTCAAAATTGTGTACCTAACAAAATACAACAAAATGAAATAATGTCGATCAAAAACAGATTAAAGAGACACACGAATGAATGGGGTTTGGACTTGGTTTTAGAGTTGACACTTGATGTAAGGAAAGAAACTTCAAGACTCCTAAAAAACTAACATAATCATTCAAGATTCAAGATCCAAGCTATATGGTTCAAGATCTAACAATAATTTTTAACTTTACATTTAAATTGGCATTGGCTATTTATTTTCTTTAAGTTCAAGGGAAGCCTCGAGGGAAGCCTATTAAATAAATTCACATTAATATAATATGGTTGTGTTTTGGTTGTTTGGTTATTTGAAGCCTGTGCCTTGGATAGCTTAAGTTCTTTTCCCTTATATTATACTCAAGAATTTCCGATTTGGACCTCGAAGAGATTTGTTTTTCCTAAATGTTAACATTAGACACTTGTATATGAATACTCCTGAATAGGGTTCGTTCGACACTCTTGTTTGTGCTACGAAAACATTTTGAATTGATCCATCTCTGCCCCAGAATGTAGGATGCCATGACATAGCACAGACTCAAAATTTTCAAAATACACTCTCCTGATTCTTGTTAAGAGGCCAACAACAAGCCATTAAAAATTGAGAAAAAGGGTTGATTTCCCGAGACGAGAACTCACTTATTTTGTAATATTTTTTGACCGGATTAGAAAATAATAAAAGATAAAAATCTAAAGAATAATGCTGTTGTTTTAGTTTTTCGAAAAAAAAATTGCAAATTGAAAATATCACGACCTAAATACTCGAAAAAAAGCATCATTTCTATCGCTCGGTACATCCAAACCCATCGCTTTTTTAAAAAAAATGAAACAAGAGCATTGTTCTAAATTTTATTATCTTTTTGAATCTTCTTGATTCACTCAAAAATATTAAGTAGTTTTTGAGATCTCGTCTCAAATTGTAAGCCCTACAAACACGGAAATTCAAAAATTTTAGCTGCAGCGAGGTGCTGCCGGCTGCTGGCGGATTTAATTTCGCACCGGGGTAAGTAAAAATTACACAACGCGAGAGGACTGCAAGGCCAGTTATTAGTTTGTGTAAATAATTATGGTGAATATATTTCATAATGAACTCAAAACGAACAAAGATAACTTTACTAGAATTGAATAAACGAAAGAGGATATCATATAGCATAGTTAAATACAGTTAGTACGTGAAGGTTAGGAATAAAATCCATCAAAAATACAAGGTTGATTTTTTTTTCAAAAAATCTCGGATACTTACGTCGATTTTTGATTTTAGTGGCCGTTTTTTTGATGAGAATTTCATACATTTGTCAAAACTGACATACCAACAATAAACTAACATGTTTTGATTGTTGATTTGAACCAATCAGATTGGAATTACGTGATAATTTATATTAGTGTAAATTATTGCATAGTAACTAATGCGAGAACTGGTGTTTTGACAAAAAATTTGAATTTTTGATTCATGAAATTTTCTCATAAAATACAGTGTATCCACTTAAGTTCGCAGCACATGGGAAACTTTTTTATTATCAATTTTACAAAAAAAAGTTATCCTTTATAAGAGTTTCTGCTTCTTGAAAAAATAATATCAAACTATGTATTAAAAGTTGAAATAGCATGTACAGGGTGGTCAAAAAATAGAAAAATATACAGGGTATTTCCTAAGTACGGTCCGTAACTTCAGGATGTCATTCCTTACGATATTTTAACAAAAAAAGTTCCCATAAATATGTGACCAGAAATGCGTAGTTTCTGAGATTCAGGGTGTCAAAGTTTTAGAAAAAAATCGTTTTTTTAGCTCAAAAATTTTTCCATTTTTTTTTTTTTTTAATTTGGCAGGTTGATTTGTGATAACGAAAGGTTTCTTTTGACTGAAATATGACTTGCTTAATCTGAAAAAAATATCAAAGGTTTAAAAAAATAGTGATGTGCCATTTTTTTTCTACTTTTACCAAAAAACCCTGCATATTTTCCTATTTTTTAATCCCCCTGTACCGGGTGTTTTTTTATCTTCGATATCATTTTGATCACCTGTAACTTTTTTGTTTTTGAAGTTATCAAGGTAAACAAAAAAACAAAATGTAGGGTTAGTAGCCAAGTTTTTTTTCAAATTACACGTAAAACAAAACACTATCAACTTTTTGACATATAAGCCTACATTATATTTTTTCAAATGGAACACCCTGTATATTATATATGTGTTCGATATAATATCTTATTCTGATTACAATGATATAGCACACTTCATATTTTGGTCCACTCGTTTTTGACAAATCGGCAAAAATAATATGAAACTTTCGAAGTGAAACTTATTAGGCGGCGCGGTCTGATATTTGGGACGAAAATTATTGAGAGCATATAAAAATTTCATATATTTTTGCCGATTTGTCAAAAACGAGTGGAACAAAATATGAAGTGTGTTATATCATTGTAATCAGAATAATATGCTCTAACGTACACACATATAATATACCGGGTGTTCCATTTAAAAATAGTACATTAAAATACAAGCTTCATAAGACGTGATTTTATCGCCCGAGCCCCATATTAGAAAACGAGCCGGAGGCGAGATTTTTAAAGGACGAGTGCGATAAAATGTCTTATGAAACGAATATTTTATACTATTTTTCTATTCTGGTATTGTTTAATTAAAAAAAAACAAATTTTTCTTGGAAATTTTATTCTCATATTTCCTGATTTCATGTTTAGGTTGGTAACATTACATGCCAAATATAGAATTAAGGGCGGGTATTATAAAACTACTTTGAGAGTTAACTTAAAGTTAATTTTTGAAATTACATGTAATTCAAAAAGTTAACTTTAAGTTAACTGTCAAAGCAGTTTTATAATACTCGCCCTAAATCTTCTATAAAATCGAGAATGACAGTGCGATGGCCATCAGTCAGCCAGTGTTACCAACTTCCGATAAGTGAAAAAGGAGTGTCACAAAGAGCTTCTTTTCGAAACTACTTTTAGTGTCGAAAAGACTTCGATATGAAACCAAAATAAAAAAAATATAATGTAGGCTTATATGTCAAAAAATTGATAGTGTTTTGATGTTTTGTTTCATGTGTAACTTGAAAAAAAACTTGGCTATTAATCCTACATTTTGTTTTTTTGTTTACCTTGATATCTTTGAAAACAAAAAAGTTACAGGTGATCAAAATGATATCAAAGATAAAAGAACACCCGGTACATGCTATTCTAAGTTTTAATAGTTTAATACTATATATTTTTTCAAGAAGCAGAAACTTTCATAAACAATAACTTTTTTTTGTAAAATTGATAATAAAAAAGTTTCCCATATGTTGCGAACTGAAGCGGAAACACTGTACAGGGTGGCCCGTTTAAGAGGGGCCTATACCTTATCTCGAAATCTACAAGGGTTGCAAAAAAAAATTAAATACAAAAGTTGTTTCTAATAAAATTATCTACATTTTTTTTTCATTGTTTTTGTTGTTACTGTACTATATACAGGGTGGAGAGATAAAATTTAATTTTTTTAAATGGAACACCCTATATTGTAATACACTTTTACATAACCCTTTGAAAGACAAATCCAACGATATACTGGACATGTGTCTGTGATAAACCGTTTCGAACTTATTAGCGATTATCTTCAGGGATTCAGGGTAATTTTGAACAGGCATTGTTACGTTACTCATAAACTTTTGAAACTTTTTTTTTGCGTGATATTTTTTATAAAATGATGCTCTTTTTTAGACTATACTGAAATTTAGCAAAATGTTACGCTTTTCAATTTTTTTTAAATGGGACATCCTGTAAATTTTCGAATTTTTGGATAGCCTTTTAAAATACAAATTCAACGATATACTGGACATGGGTCTGTGATGCACCCATTTTGGCCTGATTGGCGATTATCTTCAGTTCTAGCACAATATTTCATGTCATCCCTGATGAATAAAAAACAATGTCCAATTTTGCATTAGATTAGCTGAAATAGTGCTTTTTATTATTATTATTTATTCAAAAAGTAGTCAAAGTTTCTCCCCATTATTAAAATAAAAAAGGCGAGAAATTTGGATAAAAACAAAAAATGAAACGTGACGCTGTGTTGCTATATTTGTCAGATCAACCTAATTACGTGTTAAATGCGATAACACATTTACAAGTAAGATATATTACCTGTATTGTTGAAAATGGCGGACACAGAGAATTTAATTAAATTAATTTTATAGTTAGCCTGAAGTTGAAGTTCTCAAAATGTTTGTTCATTTAATCTTAATCAGTAACCTTTATTTTGGACTTTATAATTCAATGCTTTCCTTGTTTACTGCAACTATAGTTTATTGCAGTAGGTATTATTAAATAATTTGCGAAATATTTTTTTATTATCATTTGTTCAAAGAGTAGTCAAAGTTTCTCCCCATTATTAAGGCGAGAAACTAATGAAAACAAAAACTTAAACGTCTTTTCTTAACTACTTCTGAATGAATAATAATAATAAAGAGCACTATTTCAGCTAATCTACTGCAAAATTAGACATTTTCTTTATTCAACAGGGATGACATAAAATATGGTGCTAGAACTGAAGATAATCGCCAATAAGGCCGAAACGGTGCATCACAAACCCATTTCCAGTATATCGTTGAATTTGTATTTTAAAGGGCTATCCAAAAATTCGAAAATTTACAGGAGGTCCCATTTAAAAAAATTGAAAAGCGTAACATTTTGCGAAACGTGGCAACACGGCGTTTTTTGAACAAATATTCCAAATTTCAAAATAGTCTAAAGAAGAGCATTATTTTATGAAAAATAGCATGCAAAAAAAAGTTTTAAAAGTTTATGAGTAACGTAATAATACCTGTTTGAAATTACCCCAGATCCTGAAGATTATCGCTAATAAGTTCGAAACGGTTTATCACAGACACATGTCAAGTATATCGTTGGATTTGTCTTTCAAAGGGCTATATGAAAGTGTTTTGAAATATAGGGTGTTTCATTAAAAAAAATTAAATTTTATCTCTCCACCCTGTATATAGTAGAGTAACAACAAAAACAATGCAAAAAAAATTTAGATAATTTTATTAGAAACAACTTTTGTATTTAATTTTTTTTTGCAGCCCTCGTAGATTTCGAGATAAGGTATAGGCCCCTCTTAAACGGGCCACCCTGTACAACTCGTGCAATGGAAATATATTTTCAATTTTTGACAAATTTGCACTCATGCGTTTTTGACAGAAATGGGCACTGAAAAAGCACTGGTGCTCCTTTTTAACTAAAAATGCATCCGGGCAAATTTCCCAAAAATTATCGACAATTTCCATTGCACTCGACATTTAGAATTTCATACATCTGTCAAAACTGACATTCCAACAATAAACTGACATGTTTTGATTGTTGATTTACGTTTTATGCGTGTATCAAACGTCAAATTATTGAAGCAATGTCAAAAAAGAGCGAATCTCGCGCAAGTGAGAATTAGGCTTCACGCGATAATTGGCGCGACACTGGTGTTTTAACATTTTTTGACAAAAAATTTAAATTTTTGATTCATGAAATTCTCTCATAAAAGCTCTTTTCGGGTTCGAAAAAAGGACGGTTCTAGAACGGTTCAAAACAATCGCACAGTTCATCAATCAACTAAATGACAACGGTTCAGCTATCACAAACTTCAATAATAAACTGTGCGATTGTTTTGAACCGTTCTAGAACCGTCCTTTTTTCAAACCCAAAAATAGCTAAAATACAACTCAAGCAATGGAATTTTTAATCTTGGATTAATTTCCAAGCTGGTGTCAAATGATAGTTCATGGAAAACTCAGATAAGAATGTATGATCGGTTTAGCTCTAAAATCAACCGTTGAGGTTTTAAAGCCTGTCAAAGTTGCAAAAAAGTAAATTTTCAACTCTTATTATTTCCGAAACAGTTGAAGATAGGTATAGGATATGATACATTAAATAAGTTCAGAATGTAACGTAGAAATAAGAAATGAAATTTAAAAAAATCCTGTGCAGTTCACACCCGGTAGAAGTGAAACCTTCATCGAACTGCATGCATTACACACATACTAACATACACAGTGGCGTCCCCCCCTCCAAAAGACTTGAGAAAGAACGCAAATAAATATAGTTTGAAAAAACTAAAATACACGCTGGGGTGCTTTGTTCCACATTTTTCATACATTGAGCACCCCACGCTTTTTTGACAATAATTCTAATATTTTTTGTTCATTAATATTTTCTGTTTCTATTAAAAATTATTTTTCACTTTTTAGTTCAATTTACTATAAAAGCGTGTTTTTTAGTTTTTTTAAAATACATTTATTTTTCACTTTTTAGTTCGATGTATTATAATAGCGTGTCAGCCCCAGAGATTTCCAGACTTTTCGAGACATTATCCAGACTTATTCAGAGCTTCCCAGAGTTTTCCAGATTCCATCCAGATTTATCCAGACTTGTACAGACTGATCCGGATTCTGGAAAATGATCCCCAGGTCTTTTGGGACCTTTTCCAGAATTTTTCCGACCCCTTCAAGAAATTTCCAGGCCTTTTCCAGACGTTTCCAGAGATTTCCAGACATTATCCAGACTTATCCAGAGTTTTCCAGACTTCATCCAGATTAATCCAGACTTTATCCAGATTTGTTCAGACTGATCCGGATTCTGGAAAATGATCCCCAGGTCTTTTGGGACCTTTTTCAGAATTTTTCCAACCCTTTCCAGAAATTTCCAAGTCTTTTCCAGATGTTTCCAAACTTTTCCAGACAATATCCAGACTTATCCAGAGTTTTACAGACTTAATCCAGATTTATCCAGACCTTATCCAGACTTGTACAGACTGATCCAGATTCTGGAAAATGATCCCCAGGTCTTTTGGGACCTTTGGCAGAATTTTTCTGACCCTTTCCAGAAATTTCCGGGCTCTTTCCAGACGTTTCCAGAGAATTCCAGACATTATCCAGACTTATTCAGAGCTTTCCAGAGTTTTCCAAACTTCATCCAGATTAATCCAGACTTTATTCAGACTTGTTCAGACTGATCCGGATTCTGGAAAATGATCCTCAGGTCTTTTGGGACCTTTTTCAGAATTTTTCCAACCCTTTACAGAAATTTCCAAGTCTTTTCCAGACGTTTCCAGACTTTTCCAGACAATAACCAGACTTATCCAGAGTTTTAGAGACTTTTGCCAGATTTATCCAGACCTAATCCAGACTTGTACAGACTGATCCGGATTCTGGAGAATGATCCCCAGGTCTTTTGGGACCTTTGGCAGAATTTTTCCGACCCTTTCCAGAAATTTCCAGGCTCTTTCCAGACGTTTCCAGAGATTTCCAGACTTTTCCAGACTTCATCCAGATTTATCCAGACATTTTCCAGACTTGTTCCAGCTCACTTGGCTTGTTCCAGGTTCTTGTTGTGTGTTAATATAAGCGTGTTAAAAAAGTGTCGCTTTTTCGTTTCATGTCGCTTTTTCGTTTCATCGAGTCTCACATCACTCCCAACGATTCTAAAGAAGTTTTCACTTCAAAATTAATGTTTTCATTTAAAAAAATAAAATTAGCTGTCACAACTTGTTTCTGGGTCACCCTGTATACATGATATTACCATCAGAAAAACGGCAACTGAAATCAAAAATCGATGTGTCCGAGGTTTTCATGAGCAATCTCACCAATGTGTGAAATTAACACTTTTCCTTTTTAATATTTTTCTAGGTTTTCTGGAAGTTCTTTATGTAACAAACGAATAAACATCATCTCTCCCACCCTCGTAACTACGCCACCTCACTTTTTTTGGTGTAAACATTTCAAGTATCTATTTTGCTGTATTTGTATGGGTAAATTTTATTATCTTCGTAATATATTTTTGTGTTTCCGCACATTTCATTCTCCACATTCTTATTTGTTAAATAAAAAGCACAATGTAAATTATAAAACTATTATTATAACTGTATACTTTTTAATTTATATTAAATATGATAGGTGTATTAGTTTTGCCTCCACAAAAGCCCATAGGATTTATTATTCACCTTCCATGCAATTTGATCACACCCTTCCGTTATCTCGGAAATATTTGCCGTAACGTCGTCTATCACGGTCCTACTTTGAACTCGGCGACAAAGAATGAATTTCGCGCGCTTGAATTTGTTGTTGGCCTCTTAATGCAACTTGTGTAATCAAACCACTCAGGTTGTGTTCATATTGAACTAGTATCACTGAAAACTGAAAACTACATATGCATATTAGTCTGAATGAGACACAGTTTCAAAACGTCGGCTGCAATGATTCTATAAACGTTTTTATAAACTGGTTGCTATATCTGCGAGTATATTTGGATACCTACTTAAAATTATCATAGTGGATAAAATTACATAAGTATTACCTACCTACATTTTTTTTTAGGCACATCGAGCTATTCTTTCAGCTTCTAGTCCTTACTTCCATGCAATGTTCACTGGCGAACTATGTGAAAAGGATAAAAAATGTGTAGAGTTACATGGTTTAAATTTCAGCACATTTGAAACAATTTTGGATTTTATGTATTCAGGAATTGTTACAATAAATAAAGATAATGTGGAAGAATTAGTGATTGCTGCCGATATGTTTGAAATAGTTGAGATTATCACGGAATGTACATACTTTTTAATTGACCAGCTACATGAGACCAATGCCATTGGAATTTATTTGTAATTAATAATTTAAGATGTATTACTTGAAAATAAAATTACTATTTTTTGAAGATTTGCCAGAGATCATAACATCTTGGAATTGAAAGTGCCAGCCATTAGGTTTATAGAAGAATATTTTCCAAAAGTTATAAAGGAAGAAGAAATTTATGAACTTGATAGGGAAACATTCACAAACATTCTAGGTTCCGAATACCTAAAAATTGATTCAGAATGTGAAATGTTCCAATCTGCCATGAAATGGATAAATCACGACATTGCCAACCGCAAACAGTATGTTTTCGATGTCTTGAAAAAAGTCAGATTACCACTCATTTCATTTAGTAAGTAATATTTTCTAATCAAATAGTACCTAGTAGTATACGGACACATAATGTGAATAATTTTCAGCATTTTTGGAAAGGGCTATAGATGAATGTCCGGATACAAGTTTAAAAGTTGCTTTAAAATCCGTACATAGTGATATGTTCAATCAAAAAGGTGCCTTGGTGCCATTGGATGTTAAACCAAGAAAATGCGCAAAGAAAGATATTTATGTTATTGGTGGATCTAAAAGAGAATTGAATAGCGTATGGGACCGAGGATTGGAGATGGACTATGTGTCAATTGAAAAGTTTGATACTTTCACAAAGTAAATAAAATCCATACTATATTATATATTGTGCTCGATGCTCGATATTGTGTATGTGTATGTGTATGCATAAGCTCTCAAAATAATTTATGATATGCATCTGTCAAATATGAACCAATAGGCCCAGCAGCACAAATTCCTAGGGGTGGGGAGAAGGGAAGGGGGAACTTGCAACCTTTCCAGATACCCGAGATATTGTTTAAAAAACTAAAAACTGTTTCATCATTAAGATATGATTGAATTGATGTACCAATACTTGAAATACGTGTTGATCCAAAATGCAACACTTATTTTCAATTAAAGTTCATGTTTTTTTTAGTTAAAAGTATAATATTTTATGTTTTGCTACGCGGTAGCTTTATCAAACCTGATAATTTTAACAATATTGTTTCGAAACCTAAATAGTGATAACAGGGGCCTGTTTCATAAAAATGAAGAGTTGGAGAGTTGAGTCACAGCAGCCTAATAATTGATTTCATAAAAGTTTTGGAGAGTTGAGGAGTGAAGGGTTGAAAAGCGACAAGCTGAATAGTTGAATAGTTACAAAATTTTTAATTTCATTTCATAAACACTCTTCACTCCTCCACTCGTCAAGATTTAATGACAAGTTTACGAAGAGCCTCATTTCTATTTCAAATACGTTTAGTGCACATCATATTATACAGGGTGTCCCACGGTGGATGGCGTGTTAGACGTTGATGGAAAACTAAAAAGTGGATCATTTTGAAAATTTGGTAACCAGCATAAACGACCATAATCCAGGGCCGTAGCGATATGACTATCCCTAGGGGGGGGGGGGGGGACTGAGATTCGGCGCCCCCTAAGCGCAGCGAAGGCAATTCAAAGGCGAGAAAAAATTAACTTTTTTGCAACTTTGGCAGACTATAAAACCTTAACGGTTAATTTTAGAATTTAGAGCAATCATTTGACATCAATTTTGAATTTAAACCATGATTGAAAATTCCTTAAAGCCTAACAAAGTTACAAAAAAGTCAATTTTTAACTATCAATATTTCCAAAACAGAGTTGAACTTAGGTATAGGAATGAGTATAGGGTATAGATATCACATGAGATCTGCTAAGAATTTCACCACAGCATATCATACCTATACAAAAACAAACAGCAGGTTAACTCTCACGCACATCTCTTCTGCGCAAGCTGCCATTCGAGAATACAGCCTATCACGGCTACGGCAGAATGATGACAGAACATGATTTAACGCGTATCTCTTCTGCGCATGCCGCCATTTGAGGCTACAAATCTCGAGTTAGCCTGCTGATTGTTTTTGTATACTCGCATGCTATGATTTTATGTAGAATCCGAATACTCAATAATATACTAATATACAGGGTGTTCCATTTGAAATAAGAAAGTTGCAAGTTAAACCACGACCAGCTTTTCTGAAACATCCTTTATATGCGAAAGTAAGTTAAAAAAAAAAATTGTTTCAACCATAAAACTTTTATTTGAGACACTTCATTCTAAAATTTCAAATAAAAAAGATGTGTGACATTTATAACCAATAACCCTGTATTTCACAACGTCACTTTTCTTTTTCTTTTCCCTTTTGATCTTTCAGTTTAACTAGGTGTTTCCTCACTTCTGTTTCCGGCTTAGGTTCCGAATTCCGATAAACATTTTATTTCTTTAAATTGTTTCCTTTGTCTACCTATCGATGACGGCCAGTTTTGGAGAAATACTTATTGATAATTTCCTTTGTATTATTTGAATAAACAAATGTGCACCAGCAGGATTCGGTTAGTTCGACGTTGTCAGATTGCACGGAAGGAACCCATTCAGGTATACCTTGCCTTCCAAAGTGTTACTTCTTTCATTAACTTCTGATACCCTATTGTGTGTCTCACTTGTTTTGTTCACTATTGTCTCCATGTTACAAGTGCACCTCACTTACGTCACTGAGAGCTGAGTCGGTGGTTGGGTTCGGTAATTGGGGTAATTGCATCTGCGAGCAAAATAGTGAATTTTGACGGACGTCACGTGATCACTTATCCACCACTTATCTTTTTTCACGTGACATCTGTCAAATTTTGCTTGCAGATGCAATTCCAATTAGCGAATCCAGCCGGGATTCACCGAGTTTCCGTTGCCCCGTTTCGATGGAACTTTTGGGGCGAGTTCACAATAGAAATTAAACTCTTGACTGGGGCGTGTTCACAATAGCTGGCGGGACGTGTTCACAATACCGCCGGGGCGTGTTCCGGGCGCACTGCAGCCTCCGGTTGCATGTTGAATTAGCATAAAAATACTATCCTTTCTGAATTATAATTGTTGTAAAATAGTATTTAATTACCTACTCGGAAACTTGCCTTTTGTCTAAGATTTTTTTTTTTTTGTACCTATATAAATATTTTGGCGCCCCTGTGCCAGCTGCGCCCAGGGAGGGAGGCTCCCCCGTCTCCCCCCCTGTTGGCTACGCCCCTGCCATAATCTACACTTTAAAAATATTTTTGTTTATGCGGTGTTGCCGCTTCTACTCTAAACTAGTGGCAGTAGCGCTATTTTAAATGAAATACCCATATGTGATTGCATATTTGGATTCTACGTAAAATTCTGAGCAGATTTCATGTGATATACCCTATACCTAAGTCCAACTGTTTTGGAAATATTGACAGTCGAACATTGACTTTTAGCAACTTTGACAGCAATGATCTTCTTCCGATGGAGAAAATGTGCCACAAAGGCAAAGAAAGTTATATGGAAAGACACTTAGGCAAGACATTTTGGCGTTTTATAATATTGGTTTATTTAGCAGACATGAACGACATGATCAGTTTGTGAAGAGTAGGTAGGCATGTGGTAATTGGCCGATACTTGGTTGGATCTTCTGTATTCTGCAGGTCCTCTGGGAGAAACTGCTTATGATTAATATAAACTTTGAGAATAACTTATTTCAATGCAACAATTTGTCATTTTCACTTCTTCCCAGAAAAAGACTTGGTATTTTTGCTGCAAATTTGGCCTGAATCCCTGGCCTGTTATTATTGGTTTTTCAAAAGCAATCAATTACGAAACACACTACTTTTATATAATAATTTATTATTTTCCTTAAATTTATTTCAGAAAATGGACCAAGGTTCCTGACATGCGTGTCAATCGCTTAGTTCCAGGTGTAGCTTCCCTTAACGGTCATATTTACGTTGTGGGAGGTGAAGAAGGTTCAAATATCCTCTGCAGTTGTGAAAGATATGATCCAGTTACCAAAATCTGGACGCAGGTAAAAAACATGGTTATACCCAGATGTGAATTTGGTTTATGCGCTCTAGATGGTAACCTATATGCTATGGGCGGATGGGTTGAAACTGATATTAGTGGTTCCATAGAAAGATATGATCCTAGAGAAGACAGCTGGGAGGTGGTAGGAAATTTACCACAGCCTCGGTTTAGTATGGGATTGGTTTCTTATGAAGGTATTTATTCAATACTTATTTATTGCTTAAATTGAGCATCAATTTGGCATCTAGGTATGATTTACATGGTGGGTGGTTGCTCTTTAAATCAAAGAAATATGCAAGATTTGATGAGTTACAATCCAGTTACCAAAGAATGGATAAAACTTCCTTCAATGTCTGTAGCAAGGTTTCAAATGGGAGTGGCCGTTTTGGATGATTATTTGTATGTTGTGGGAGGCACAAATAGACAGCAAGTTTTGAGTTCTGTCGAGAGATACTCATTTAAAAAGGTAATAATTAATAATCAGCAAGAAGTAATTGACAGCATTTGTGCTTTTTAGACCAAATGGGAGACAGTCCCTAACATGAAACTTGAAAGAAGTGGGCCAGCTGTTTCTGCAATGGATGGATTTCTTTATGTCATTGGTAATGTCAGAATTTTCTCGCTTGATAAAAAATACATATATTTTACTTAGAACTAGACTTAGCTGGATTTATTGAATTTATTTGCATAGAAATGTTCCTTACCAAAAAGAACTTCTTTTTTCAATAAGATACCTATTGGGGCTCCGTCAAGTTAGCCCCCCACATTCGAATTTTCTAAAAAAATGGGAACCACTTAATGTGCTCGAAGTGTGCTTTACTGTGCCAATGATATTTTGAACTGTGCCGTTTCGATAACAAAGTTATAGGAAAAAATAGATGAGGGACTAACTTGACGCTCAGCCCACCCCAAAATTTTGGAAATCAGATGAAACGAAAAAGGATCCTTATCCGATCTTAAGTGTGCTGAACTGTGCTGTATCGGGTTTTTTTCAAAATTTTCATATTCGGTCATTTTCCGACAAAATCATCCTACTGGGGGGCTAACTTGACGCTCAGCCTCCCAAAATTTTGGAAATCAGATTAAACAAAATTGAATTGTTATCCAATCTGAAGAGTGCTGAACTGTGCTGAATCAGGTTTTTCTCAAAATTTTCATAATCAGTTATTTTTCGACAAAATAATCATATTGGAGAGCGGGGGGAGCCAAGGGAGCCAATTTAAAGCTCAGCCCCCCAAAATTTTGAAAATCAGATTAAACAAAGTTGAATACTTTTCCAATTTGAAGTGTGCTGAACTGTGCTGTATCAGGCTTTTCTCAAAATTTCCATATTCGGTCATTTTCCGACCAAATCCTACTGGGGAGGTAACTTGAAGCTCAGCCCCCTCAAAATGTTGAAAATTAGATGAAAAAAAATTGAATTCTTATCCAATCTGAAGTGTACTGAACTCTGCTGTATCAGGTTTTCTCAAAATTTACATACTTATTCGGTTATTTTCCGACAAAATCCTACTAGCTAACTTGACGCTCAGCTCTGAGAATCTACATACATTCCTGTTAATTAAATTTTACCAGATTTTACAAAATTATAATAGTTTTCCTAGTGATTTACTGGTTTTTCAAAGATAACGATAAAAGAACTATCAGATCAGTTTTTTATCGCACTGCGCATGCCTGCACCACGACCAGCATTTCTCAAGGCAGGGTTTGTAGGGTTAACTCTTTAAGAGCTAAAAGTGTTGAAAAAGTAAAAGGAGCTGCCAATCCGAACCGACCTCCGGTTGCACTGGTACCAGTTGGGACTTGGAACGCAGACTAATGTATAGTCACCTATCCATTTTGGAGAGTGTTCCGTTCCCAACCCTGGTTAACTGGTCTGTAGATCTTCGGTTGACAGTGATTCAATTGAAGACATGCAGTAACTTTGAACTTTGTAATTTAGGCATCACACAAGGTTGCTTGAAACAGATAGGTTGCCTGATAACTTTTATGACTCTATGCCTAAGCACAATGCAAATCTCCATAGGAATCACCGGATGACGTCATCTGTTTGCCCTTATCAAACAACCTATTACAAGCAATTAATATTTAGGAACCTTGGGCATTACATTCTTCGCATTCTCTTTTCGACTTCCATTATACTTTACTTTTTCAAACTCACAGGCACAAAAATTGTCAGAAATGAGGAAAAATACAGAAAATTATAATATAATATAATATAACATATAAAATAAACAACAAAATAATAACCAACCGGAAAAACGGAACAAAGGTGACAATGCGATAGCCGACAGTTACCGAAAAACCTTTCAGCGATAGCCGCACCATGCTTACAACCCACCAATCACCTCAACTGCATTCAACGCATGCGCACTAGACCAAACTAGGCTGAGCGATAGACTTTTGCGAAGTTGATGTATCTGTCTCACACATTTTTGCATCAGGGTACAGCAAGAACACGCGTTATATAATTTTTTACTTATATGGATAGCCGGTTGTATCGGTGACATAACCATTTTCAACGGAACGTATAACTGTAACCAAGGTTGGAAACGGAACCCACTCCCACTAAGAATCGTGATATTTTTTACAGGTTATGTTTCTGGACTTAATTTTGTTAGGACCTTTGTCGAACGGCCATAGTACCCCGGATATATTTTATTAATTTTTCCGGTTTAGTTCGGGTTAGTTTGTGCATATGAAGAGTGAAGACTGAAGAGGTCTCCGCGGCTCTATTAAATTTTGGTATAAGTATTATTTGTAGTGTGTTTTTTCGACGTATTTTGTGGTGATTAAATAGGGTAGGTTGATAATTCTTTCTTTACCTACTGTGCAGGGCAACCCTTCATTGATAGCAAAACTAGGATGTTATAAGCTTAGGTATAATATCCCGGTCAGAATAGCTATTTATGTACTAGGTGTTTGTTTATAACTGGAACACTTAGTAACTTTCCTATATTATTGAAAATAAAGGGCATGTTTAAGCTGGAAAATTTCTTGGTAAATTTGCAACCTTAAGCGCTAAAATGACATTTTTTTGTCGTCGAAGGTTTACAGGGTGCGCCAAAAAGGTATTTTTTTAAAATGGATTGCCCTGTGTATTTTTGTTATCCAAATAATATTTGATATGTTTGTGAAGCTAACTTTCTAAGAATTTCAAAAATGCAAAAATATACAGGGCTTTCCATTTGAAAAAATGACTTTTTTGGCGCATCCTGTATACCTATGGCGACAAAAAAAATTCTTTGTAGCGATTAAGATCGTTCCAATTTACCAAGAAATTTTCCAATTTAAACATGCCCTTTATTTTCAATAATGGAAAAGTTATTCAGTGTTCCATTTATAAACAAACACCCAGTACCAAGGGCATTGTGAAGATTATAATACCCAGAAGGCGAAACTAGCCCGAGGGATATGTTTCGCCTGGAGGGCATTATAATCAGAAAATGCCCGTGGTCAGTGGTGCATACAATGCTTTATTTTCTACTGAACGAAATAATGTCTTTTCATCAATTTAGTGTCAAATAGCTCATACACTTGCTATCGATCGTCCTTGTTTTGATTGTATTGACATATCTATAACAATCGCAGGGCATTATAAGCGGGCGTTAAAGGCGAGCGTTATGAGCAGCTGTTATAGATCATAACGCCAACAGGCATTATGAGCGGGCGTTCTAGATCGTAACGCCCTAGGGAATTATAGGCGGGCGCTATAGATCATAACACCCAGGGGAATTAGGAGCGGGTGTTACGGTTATTTTGTTTCCAAGGTATCATGGATCAATAATTGTCAAGTAGAAAATAAATAAATAATTTGCGGTTGTGGTTCAGAGAAGAGTGACGGATATTTAGAAGGGGGGGAGGACTATTTTCGTCAGCACTGGCCAAAATTTGGCAACAACTTGGGCCCCTCTTAGTTTTTTGTTCGAATGACCGAATATGGAAATTTTGAGAAAAACATACAGCACAGTTCAGCACACTTCAGATTGGATAAGAATTCAATTTTGTTTAATCTGATTTCCAAAATTTTGGGGGGCTGAGCGTCAAGTTAGCCCCCCAGTAGGATTTTGTCGGAAAATGGCCGAATATGGGAATTTAGAGAAAAACCTGATACAGCACAGTTCAGCACACTTCGAATTGGATAAGAATTCAAATTTGTTCAAACTGATTTTCGAAATTTTGGGGGGGCTGAGCGTCAAGTTAGCCCCTCATCTATTTTTTCCTATAACTTTATTATCGAAACGGCACAGTTCAAAATATCATCGGCACAGTAAAGCACACTTCGAGCATAGTAAGTGGTTGCATTTTTTTTAGAAAATTCGAATGTGGGGGGCTAACTTGACGCAGCTTACCTATTGGTATTTCAGGCCCATGCTGATAAGCCACAAGTGAGATTTGCCTTCTATTAAATCTTTTATCGCTGAAAGCCTAAAGTTGCTATGAGAGCTTGTGCTTTTCCTTCAACAAGCTAAAAAGAATTTCTTATGACATTTTCTAGTCCTCAAAATTACAGGAGGCAGAAATAAACTCTTATTATGGTTGAATTGGCCTACCTTTAACAAGGCAAAAACAATATATCATGAAAACTCTCAGAATTCACAGTTGGCAGATGCCAAATGTGGGAAAATTGTCCTTTTGAATTTGATTTTTGCCTTCAAAAGCTTGTAGGCTGTTGTTGCTGTTCAACTAGCCAAATAATACCTAGAGTATTTTCCAGCTCTTGGAGACAAACAATTTCACCATTGTGTTCCAGGTTCTCTCTTGATGTTTGCCTCTGAGAGCTAAAAATTTGCTAAGAAATCACAAAACAACATTTTCTTATGACACTGACTATCTGTCTAATTCACTTTTTAGCCTTGGAATGACCATGTCTTTCCATGCAAATCCATAGATATTCGAGATTCGTACAAAAAAGTATTTAGGTTCCTTTATCAGCTGGCCTGCATTTAGTCAGGAGGCACGAGTCAGGTAACCGCTTTTAAGTGCAAGATCATATTGGTTTGAAATTATTCGTTTTAAATTGTTGTAAATAATGCTTGAAATTGTTTTTCAGTGTTCTTAAAAGATCTTTCAAATATTCAATGCAAGAAATTATGTACTTAATCCAGAACAATAAAATAATACTATTCGCAAAATGAATTTAATGGATGCTCTTGGACTAAACCCTTATCTGTAGAAATTTTGCCGAGGTTTTCACTTTATCCGGGGGCGACGAATAAATCATTTTTTGTAGGAATCTCGAATATCTATGGCGGCTACTAAATATATATGTTTTTGTTTTTCAATTTCGAGTAAAAATTAAATTTTTATTTATTTATTTTCACAAAATTTCGAACATTTTTATAGAGATAAGTTAGTCAAATCATAAAGGACCCCGCAATATTTAAATGGAAATTGGTTACCCGTGATATTTGGATGAAATTTAAATATGTTATTGGGGATGCCATAAGTAACATTTTTTACCATGGGCACAACCCTGTATATATGACAGGTGAGGCGTGGTTAGCTGTCAAATATTGGAATCTTATATCCAAAAGCAGAGTAACTATGGCAGATTTTGATGAACAAAAAATCTATTTCTACTAAGTCGACCAAGTTAAGTCGAAAAATGTCAACCATTCTGACACCTGCCAAAACCCTGTCAAACGGCGGCACTCATCTTTTCCAGTTTTCAATATTTCATGATGTCATTTTGACACTTTTAACTTGTATGTAAATTCTGAATTCAAAAATTGAAAAAAAAATGACAGAACTGTCAAAACCTGTCATTTGTTTTAGTAGAAAAAAAAAACTCTAATCTGATTCTTTTTTGTTTCGGGGTAGTTTATTGGTGATAAAACATTAAACAAAGTTCATGCATGTCACATTTTGACAACTTGCAGAATCTGTTTTTGCTTTTTGGTTCATATTGAGTTTGTTTGCTTAGTGAAGTTCTACAACTATAATGATAGAATAATACAATAATACAATAGAACTAAACCTTCACTAAGCGAACCAACTCAATTTGAACCAAAAATCTAATAACAGACTCGGACAGTTGTCAAAATGTGACATGCATGAACTTTCTTCAATGTTTTATCACCGCTAAACTACCTTGAAACAAAAAAGAACCAGATTAGATTATTTTTTCCTACTAAAACAAATGACAGGTTTTGAAATTACTGTAAGCAATTTAGCAATTCCTGACTTTCATAGTGTTTATCCAATGTTTATCCTATCTGTGCGCCATATTGAATAAATACAAGTGGCCTGCATTCATTAGGTTATGTAGCAACCATGAAGGTAGCAACCCTGTCCTGTGACGTAATAGAAATGTCATTTATGAATGACATTTCTGACTTTTGACACAAGAACAACAGAAGAACAACAACCACGTGCCATGAAAAACAAACCGTTAATCGCCAGTTTTCCAATAAAAGTGAATTAAAATAGAATCGCAACTTCTTTTATTTTGAAAACAAACATCGCCGGCCTTTCCTACATTACATACAAGTTAAAAATGTCAAATGACATCATAAAATATTGAAAACGGGAAAAGATGAGTGCTGCCGTTTGGCAGGGTTTTGACAGGTGTCAAAATGGTTGACATTTTTCGACCTAACTTGGTCGACTTAGTAGAAATAGATTTTTTGTTCAGCAAAATCTGCCATAATTACTCTGCTTTTGGAATGGATATAAGATTCCAATATTTGACAGCTAACCACGCCTCACCTGTCATATATACAGGGTTGTGCCCATGGTAAAAAATATTGCTTACGGCATCCCCAATAACATATTTAAATTTCATCCAAATATCACGGGTAACCAATTTCCATTTAAATATTGCGGGGTCCTTTTCTGTAAAAGAAACTGGAACGTTTAAAGCTACATTTCTTCAATTAATATTTTTCAGGCGGAGCACAAATTCACGCAACTCCATTCTACAGAGCCCAATGCACCATATCCGCTGTGGAATGTTTTGATCCTTATACAAATACTTGGTCGGATTGTCCTCCTCTGTCAGAAACTAGGGCAGAAGCAGGAGCTGTAGTTATATGATACCCAAATCACACTTGTAAAGCTACCAATCACTGAAATTGGTGATAAAAGTAAATTTGGTTTCAATATTTCAGATTCAATTTTTTTTTAGGTACAATAGATCTTGTTTCTGAACCAGTGCTAACAGAAGGTATATCCGTGTTCTCTTGCCATGTATACCATTAATATTTGTTTGTCAGCCCTCATGTTAATTTATGGTGAAAGGTGAAACGTCGCCTTGATTTTCTGGAATAAGGTCTAAGGATCAATTAAGAGATGGCGATATCAAATATTCCGCAAACTTCGATTAACAATAAACTAAAAGTTAATGTAATTTGAGTAAGTGCAGGTCTCACCATGGTACCCTACAGAAATCATTGACATCTATGAAAATTATAAAATTTCCAAGTTGCCAAAAAAAAATCCGTAATTCACCTGACCTACACATGTTCTTCCTCGTTTTCGCGTATATATGTTCTCTTAGTGAGCATTCACACCAAAGTAGCATGCGACTTGCTGCTAGGAAGAAGCATATCCTACTTATTTTAGAAATATATGGCAGGTTTCGCACACAGCATGGTACTTGGGTGTGAAAGCTTACTCACACGCTGTAATTACAAGTACTTTTGACAGGACAGGTCCCTAAATACATTTCAAGTTAGCAGGATGTTTGATAACGCAGGGCTTTATGTCGTCACCGTATTATCTTGCCGCTTAAGATATACAGTGTGCGCCATAAAGTTGGGTACATATGGGAAAATTCTTAATTATTCCTTTTTTGAAAAAAACTTTTTTTTGAGATCGTTAGGGCATGTTCGATAACCAAAAAATCAATTATGACACATGTCATGTTATTTTTCTGATGACCAGAAAATGTGCAAAAAGGGACATGGGTACAGTTATAGCGACAGGACCAGACGGTATTTTCTAATTTATGACCTTCAAGTATGTATTTCGCAAAACAATCGATTCGTTTGATATCAAACTTATGTAGTTTAGTTGAATAAAGCTATTTTTGAAATAAAATTAATGTTTTCGATTTTCCATTTAATGGTAGTTTTATTTTTTTTCTCTGATTTGCTTCAAAATCGGCAAGTGGAGTTCTTTTTCGATTCTGAATAACTTTTTCCTATAAAATTTTTTGATATCTTGCCAAATTTACCAGTTTTTCGACATCAATATCAACTTTTTTCAAAATTCCCGCTAAACCGATAATCACATGACATGTGTCATAATCGATTTTTTGGTTATCGAACATGCCTTAACGATCCCCAAAAAAAAATTTTTGAAAAAAGGATTAATTAAGAATTTTCCCATATGTACCCAACTTTATGGCGCACACTGTATAGCTAAAGGTCTCATCAAAAACGTTCGTGTTTGCCTTAAAAAGCGTCCAAACTACCCTTTGTGTTCGAAGGATAGAGCATACATTTTAATTTGATTATGTTATTTTATTTGGTTATATTTTTTTCTATAAACTTTATTATTTTTTTAAAATTTACCTCTAATGAGCAACATTCAAACTAATTGTGTTCCTTATTTTTTATAATAAATGTTGGGTGTGTACCTGGTATATAGAATCCCATTGTATATAGAATTGTTCTATCTAAACTATGCAAATAAAGGGGTTATTACTGTTGATAATTATTTAAAAAAAAGTTAATTTGTATTATACTTCTCATGTTTTACTTATTTATTGCTGCTTAGACTTAGGCATAAAATATATTACAATATAATGTAGAACTAACCCATAAAGGGCTTTTGCACATCTAGGCGGTAATGGAAAATAATTGTATAATGCCCTTACATAATATATGTACATCTAAAGTTGTAGAAAAAAAATATCGATTTTTTTCCACTAATATTTGAAAATAAATATAGGTAACGGTTAACAATAATTGCTGAATGCATCTTTTATCCCCTTGTCCAAGACGAAATATACTTTTTATCACAATTCTCTTGATACCTTCTTACAATATTTGATACTGTAGAACGACTTCTCCTGTGACGTCTTGCCAAAAATTCTTGTCTATATCCTTCTTTATATAGAGAAGCTAAAATGCACAATTGTTCTTGTAAATAGCAGTATTCAATTTTAAAGAATAGTGCCCTGCATAAAATATATACATAATAATATGCGATTCTTTTTTCAAAAGAAATTCAGAAAATTTTGAAACGTTCGATGATTTTATCCATGACTGTTTCATGCCTTCATCTATAGGACAGGGATTGCAACTTATTCATTAATTTACAGTGTGTTGAATTTTAGTGACATGCAGACGTTTAATTGAAATTGTTGAAATTTTTTCTTGCCTCGACTAGGATTTGAACCCAGGACTCTCGCATATCCAGTGCAGAGCTCTTTGAACTGAGCTACCAAGACCCGTCTCATTTTTACCTTGTCGGTCAAGTTTTTCATCAATTTTAAATTTTTAGTTGTGAAGACCAACAGCAACTTTCTGCGGTTACCGTTGGTATCGGAGTGAGTAACAAAGTATAAGGGCATCCATTATCCCTTCAACCACGTATGCGTCGTCGGCTTATAGCGACATCAGCAGGCATCGGGATGGGATGCCCAATCATCAATTAAACGTCTGTATCCAACACACTGTAAATTATATCACAGATGAAAAAACTTTCAAAAATTATTCATTAATTGTGAGCAAATAATTGATATTCTTGCAAAAACAAGCTTAAATCAATCCTACCATTACAATAAAAATTCACCTTTGGTAGTTTTAATCGATATGGTTTATTTAAATTATGAATTGATACATTTTTTTTTATTGTTGTTTTAAAATTGTTAACTATAATAATAGAAACTTAACATTCTAAATAATAGGTACAGGTATAGTATTTTTAATCTGACTTGAAACACTAAAAAAACATCTAGTCGGCATAAATCAAACAAATAAATGACATGGGCGTCACATAATTTTTATTTCATCAATCAACAGAATAACAACGGCTTGGCTATCACAAATTTCAATAATAAACTGTGCAATTGTTTTGAACCGTACTTTTTTCGAACCAATACAAACCTAATATCTAACAACACAACTATTATTATTATTTTGGGCTACTCTAGCGATATTTCGTCGCTGCTTGTATTTTGTACAGGGAAACTTACAATAGATTTTCTATGAAATTAATAGAAGAGCGACGTGATGGACATTTCAATCCTCGTTTAATGCAGTGTTTCAAGTCATAAAAATAATATACTTGGTCATTTTTTATATTCTACCCACTATTAAATAGTAGGTTCGTTATTGTATGTTACAACCAGAAACAAGTATACTATAATGTCCTAGTAATTTACCCAAGCCTATCAGAATTGATTTTAGAACACTGGCTGCTACCAGCTACATTATCATGTTATCATATTATTAGGTTGGTTCCCCAGTTTCAATTTCTTGTTGTCAAATATGATTTTCAAAAAAATTAACTTGATTTTTGTCAGTTACAATTTAGAGCTCACCTAACAAGGTCAGTTTTTTGGAAATCGTCTTGAAAAGAGACTGGGACTAGCTTTTGATGTTTGAAACATGCTAAATTATTTCACAACTCAAAAAATAAATCCTCTAGATGAGGGACAAAGAATAAAATATAGAAAATTACTTTGTACATAACCATAACTTACCTACTGATAGTATGAAGGCCATTTATAAGTAGTCTTATTTCTTTTTTTGACATTTTTTACTGCTGTCTTATATATTTTTAAATAATATAATGATTTTGTATCTAGCCCAGTTGACTAAAACTTTTTTTATGAACACATAGTGTGTCAAATCAAAGAAAGTTGTTGGAAAATATCTTTGGAGAGCACAAGTGTTTAATCAAAGCTCCAACAGACCGCCACTACTAATTTGAGTTTGTATTGCTCTCACAACGTCAAATTTATGCAATACTGGTGGTTTCGCTTTAAATAATGGAGAAATCTGATTTCTCGATCGGTGGGTACTGGCGCTAATTGCTGACCGGTTTCGAGCTGTTTAGCTCTTGTTAGTGCAATAGTACAACATAAGCAAAAGCACGTCAACTCAGAGAAACAGGTTTAAAGGAAATTCACACAATAACGAAGATATAAACCTTGTGTTTTTCCAAAGATATTTTTTAGCAACAATTTTTTTATTGGCTTTAAATTGACCAGACGTTTTTTTTTTAGTGTAGGAGGCCATGCTTGCTACAACGCTATTTCTATAGCTTGTGGTCAATTTATAACTAATAACCCTATTGCTATTAAGTTTGTAGGTATTTAATTATTATGTAGTCGCTACAATTACCAAAAATTATAATGCTTTAAACTTAGAGGTTGTTTTATTATCCTTCATTGTTTTCTCCTTAGCTGAAATCAGAGATTAACAAAAACCATTTTTCGCAATTAGAAACTTATTTTTATTTTAATATATTTAGGTTAAAACATATAAGTATCATATTTTATTGTATTAGATATTTTTCTAAATTAATAAATGAAGAAGGATCTTCTTTCATTTATTAATTTAGGAAAATAATACAATGGAAAAATGATGATTCAACCTGAATAGACCTAATAATTTGTTGATCGCAAACACTTGTATATGTGTCTAGGTAACTACATATTATGGAAAAAATCTGTGTCAGAAAATTGATATGACTTCAAAATTTTGAAGAAAGTGTGTGTTTTTAGTTAATTATGATTAATTTCAAAAGTTAGTGACTGCAAACCTGGTGGGAATGATGAGGATCAAAGCCTCTCAAATAAGCTATGGCTAACCCTTTGGGCAGGGGTATTTTAACTCAAGAATTTAAATTCCTACTTTTATCCTAAAGATTTTATCTTATAGTGTAAATAACAAGCTGTATGAGCGAATTGACACATCAACTTCTCATACAATTTCAATGCTTCAATTTTTGATCCGATTTGGCTCTAAAATTTTAAATATGCAACAATATTTTTTTTTTTTTTTTAGCATAAGTTATGAATTTAGTGTTAAATCTCATTGCGCATACAGGTGTTCAGTCACCTAGGTAAAACTTCTACATTATTATTGGACTGTTTCTATATTAGACTACAAGAGTATCAATTCATGTTATGTACCCAATCAAACAGTATTTAAATAAAGTTATTGTAGGACCGGTGCCTTCTCTAACCCAAACATTTACTAATCCCGGGATATGTAGGTTTCTGTTCAGGGTAAACTTGGTATCCCCAAGTTCAAGAGGGTTGAGAGGACAAAAAATGAGTTTACTATCAAATTTTAGAGACAAAACAAAAATATATTTTTTTTTTGTGGCTAGCTGTGGGTAACATTACAATAGTTGGACATTACTCATAGGTATTTTATTATGACCATTTAGGGCCATATTCTCCATAGTTCATAAAGCCTGGCTTAGTGGAAACGCTTGGCTTTTTGTGTGACAAAGCCGAGTTTTTTTCACTAAGCCAGGCTTTATGAACTACGGAGAATATGGCCCTGAGAATATTATTTGGTAAGAACCTACTTATTTTCCATATCAACCTCATAGTCACTTCCCCTTAATCCTAGATTTCCTTAAAAAAAAAAACAGTCTTCCTAGCATTAAGTTTGTAGTTGACGCAAGTAGGTAAGTTTATTTGAAATTTCTGAAAAAACACTGAATTAAACAAATTCTTTAAAATAAAATTCAAATATATTTCAAAAGGTTAAACTAACAAATTTTACTTGGGGGGCAAACCCATTTTCTGTCTAATCAAAAACTCTGGATATCGTTTTCCTTTCCAGTATCTTGGAATTACGATTTCATGTAGTTTATCTAATTTCTGTTTCACGTAGTCATCAGCAGAGAAGGATTCGGCTTCTTTGCACTGCTGAATAAGGACTGCTTGAAAAGCTTTCTCTTTTCTTAGTTCCCTTTTTTGTTTAAGCTGAAAAAGTTTACTGACTGTTAATCAAAATTTTAAAAAGTACTTACACAGTTAAGAGCAAATAGACCCAATTGCATATATTTTGCATTCACAAACCATCACTAACTCCTTTTTTTCTCAAAGGACCCCGCACACTTCTTATGGGATTTCTGACCTCGGTCAAATTTAACCAAATTTTAGTATGTTATAGATCTCGCCTTTCTGATCAATAACTCTCATGGGCACAACTCAATCCTATGACTAGTTTTTGAGATACAGGTAGTTTAATATCCCAGAAATGAACACATTTTCTATGCATTTAGATCTACCTGTCACCTAATTACCAGGATGGACAGGTATCCTCACGCTCAGGTGACAGGTAGATATAAATGCATATGAAATATGTGCATTTCTTGGACATTAAACTACATGTATCTCAAAAACTAGTCATAGGATTTGGTTGTGCCCATGGTAGTTATTGATCAGAAAGGTGAGATCTATAACATACTAAAATTTGGTTAAATTTGACCGCGGTCAGAAATCCCATAAGAAGTGTGCGGGGTCCTTTGCGGGTTAGCCGGTCTTTTTTGTATCAGGATCTTCCTCAACATTGCATTTTTACGATTTTACAACAGGACATGTGCAGTGCATGCCTGTGTAGTTTGAAAAAAAGTGAATAATTTGAATCAAATTTTTTTTTCGTTGCTTAGTAAGAATTTTTACGTTATGTTGTATTGTTTTTGAGTCACCCCGCCTCACCCTTTAAAGCCGGGCTCAAACGACTCGTGTACTTGGCGAATAATCGTTACTTGCGTATACTTGCCATGTCGTGTGAGTGGGTTACTTGTACAATTATTTGTCACTCGTTGGTTTTCCATTTCTTGTCGCTAAAAATGTCCCGAGTCAAAGGAATCACGATTATTCGTACACTTGCCAAGTTCATACTTGTCTATACTTGTAGAGGCACTCAAACGAAATGCACAAATAATTGGCTTTTACTGCGACTATTTCATTTAGTTTTCGACTAGCATCAAGGTTTAGCCAAATGTTCGCGCTCGCGTACTTGTAAATTGTAAAACGTCGTGTGAGCGCTCTGCTTGCCATCGCAATTCGCAAAGCTTGTATACTTGCCAAGTACGCGAATAATTGTGCATTCGCCAAGTACACGAGTCGTCTGAGCCCGGCTTAAGGGGTGAGCATTGTGTTGAACATCATTGGATAGCTCGTTGCTTTCCCTTTACAGTCTTCTTACGATTAGTTTTGAGATATCTGCCTATATATGGAACCGTAATCTAACTTTTTTCCTTATTTTGGTTGGAAAACTTTAAATTCAGGTAGGCAAACCATACACCAAAACCAAACCCTGATCTTGAGTTCTAGTTGATATGAGTTTATTAAGTATTATTCTGCTCCAAACAACAAACGTAAAGTTAAATATTTGGATCAAGATTAGATGGTTTAAGAAGGGTTGTAGCTTGTAGCCAAACATTATCTGATAATTCTGGCTTCTCTTGTACACTACCTAACATAAAAGTAACTTTAATACACTTACTTTTGCCCACTCAAATTTCATCTTCTTTTTCAACTTTCTCAATTTATGCCTTTTCATTTTCTTCCTTCTAATAACAATCATTCTAACAGCTTCTTTAGGGGTATCAGCTGTTTCTGTTGATGGGGCTATGATCTCTCTTGGTATTTTAATGGGGTCAATCAGTGGTGGTACCCATGTAAGACCATTGGGCAATTCAATCTTTTTACTAATATTTCTAGGAGATATTATTTTATCATTTTGTTGGTAAATCCAAGAATTTAGAGCGGGTATACAATGTACCCTTGGTATTTGTTGTTGAGTACACAGACATTTTTTAATTATTGGACCCAGATCACCCACAGCTTCAAATAATATTTATTTTTTAATTAAATTTATCTATTATTTATTAGTAAATGCTTACCTTTTAATGAATTTAACTTAAATATTCTGGAAAAAAACATTTTTTTAAATTTTAATTGAAGACAGCTAGGGTTACTAGGGTTAGAAAATGATGTATCTACTTCTTGTCATGTCATTTGTCTATAGGCGAGTTTAGGGGTACGATCGAGAAAGCACCAAACGTTACGTTACCCAGTGTACTTCCAGCCATTCGAAAATGCATTATTTCGATATACCCTGATTAACTTGTCTTGCCATTTGTTGATAGTCTAAGGTATGTTCTCACAAGAATCTCTGACAGTTTGCAAACGATCAGAAAACATTGCCCAAAAATCGTAAACTCTATAGGAATGCTCAATCGGCTAAATTTGTTCACAAGTGCTGTGACGTCACCTGCATTCCTGACTTTCAAGATGGCCGTCGATACAAATGATAGTTGAGTTCGTGCTGACAATAATTATTTTATCGTAAATTCGAGGTTTATCAAGTGTTATGTAATTGTAATTGAAAGTTTCATTTAATGTGTGTAAGCATAAAAGACTCATGGCTGAAAATAATCGCGGAAACCCCAAACATTTTCTGGTTTTAGTGATTTTGTAATAGGTACTGGATTTGTTGCATCCAGGACATAGCTTTCTTTTATTCGTGTGTATTGCTTAGTTTTCTACTGTTAGTATTTCCTAGTCAAGTATTTGTATTTTTTTTTGTAAATCAAATAACTACTTAGTTGTAAGTTTCCTTTGCATGTAATTACTAAAAATTAGTGTTTGTGAAGAGATATAGGTAAATAAATAAATATGTAAATAAATTCCTTTACTGGAGCGTTTACTAAGTAAACGCATGAAAAATATGGGAAACTTGTAGTGTTTTTCTGGATTATGGCTTTGTGAGATAAGCTTACTTTGAATTTCCATATCATCGTTCTAGTAGGTACCTATTAAACTATTGAATATAAATTGAGAAGTAGTAGAGACAGTAAAAAATAAAACACACTATGCAACCACGTTTCGCCTATATTTTGATAATAAAATGCAAAAAATGTAGGTATTTGCATTGAGTTTGTCCTTTCTTTTACAAAAAAATATCCACTCGTTTTGAATAGTTTTAGATAGATACAAGATCTTTTCCTTTTGGAAAGCGATGAAATTTACATTTTTGAGTGCTTGATTTTGATCAAAATAGTTGTTATGCACCCATACACAGCACATATCATTCCAGGCATACCTATCTATTTTATAAAAAATAATCTACCTTCTTGTTGCACTAAAAAAAGGTGAAAGAATGCATGCCCATTTCAATATAATATTTATGTGGGTATTTTGAAATTACCTTGCTGATAAGCAGAGAACAAACGAACTTGTCTTCGTAATTAGCTAACCAGTCCAGCACACAAACTTTTGACGTCTGTTAAATTTAAAAAACAAATCGATCGAGGACTGCGTGACGTCATACGCATTCCTCCATGTTCGATACTTTTATGAACGTATGTCTTATGGGATTCAGCAATTCTGTAGAGTTCACGCTTCTTGAACATTGCCCATGTACGCATATTTCCAATGGCGTCGTTTCCAAGATATATTGGTCAAGTTTTTAAAATCATCAGTCACGTGCGCATTTTCACCGATGTATTGCTCTCCTTGTCATCAGGAGAAATGCGCAGAAGCAATTGATGAATTTAAAAACTTGCCCATTATGGAGGATGAACCGATAAATATAAGGGAAAATATTGGATTTGAAGACGATGGCGGTATTGAAGATTTCAAGAATCCATCAGAATCGGAAAATTTGATCGAGTCTGTCAATGAAGAACTGCCATCAAACTGACCCGTTGACTTCGAAGTAGAGCGCATTCTATGGAGGGACAAGGCAAAAGGTATCATCATGGACAAGAGATTCGCGTGGAAGGACCACATTACCACAGCAAGAAATAAACCAAATGGGACAATGGGGAAACTCAGCCGTTGCCAGAGGCTACCCGCAAGGGGTGTACTGCCGGTCTTGCTGTAGTGTTTAGCGACTGATTACTTCACACTCTGAACGAGGAAGTTTTGTATACCCAAGGCTATGCGGACGATCTCGCAATCGTCGTGGCTGGAAGGATACCCAGCACCGTACTAATGAAAGGATCATGCAAAGAGTTCGGAATATGATCGAAAGGTGATGCAACAATCACGGGCTTTCGGTATGTCGGGACAAGACCGGAGTTGTACTATTTTCACCAATCGAAGGAACGTTTGCCTGGTAGGGCTCACGCCCTTTGGGTCAAGATTTGTCCCATCCGGATCGGTCAAATGTCAGATATCTACGAGTCATCATTGACTCCAGGCTGACTTGGAAAGATCACGTCGACAGGGTCGTCCAGAGGGCCACCGATAGCTTACGCGCCCGCAGAAGAGGCTCTCCGACCTCATATAATCCACTGGCTTTACGCTGCAGTGATAATGCTGATGGAACGCGCTACGGAAATCCACCTACACCTACAAAACGGGACAATCTCCAATGACTTGCCTGTACTGCAATAATTGGAGCTTTCAGAACCATCCCAAACGATGGCAATGGAGGCCATACTGGGACTAACGCCTTTTTATGTAAAAATCTAGGAACTTTTTATTTTCTGTTTATTTTTAGTCACTTTTGTATAAATTTGAAGTGATAATAGGTCTGTTTCTGCAGAAATCACAAACCAATCAGAGCGAATTTCATTGGTTGAAAACAGTTAGTATAGGTACTCTACTTTATTTACGACAAATTGATTTATTTGAGATTTTCAATGAACAAATTTCATCCATCTGTATAAATCCACAAGCACTACACGTTTGACTGTTTGACACTGACACTTTTAAGTTTTTTCATATTGTTTCCATGGTATTACTTATTTCATTTGAGAAATTTTGTGATTGAAGTGCAAGCAGGAATATTGACCATTATTCCCTCGTCATTATTTCCTGAGGGAATAATATATGGCATTATACTGACAAAATCAAAGTATAATACTTAGGTACATTATATATTAGTCGTAAATAAAAGTAATAAAAGCTTTATTACGCCGCCTTTATTGGGCCAGAGCCCTTATTCCTGGCGTTGAAGCCACACAAAAAAAAATAACCCACTTCGACCGTCGAGAGTCCTCATAGAATAAGTTATTTTCCTTTTCGATGTCGAATCTGAGATAAAGTATTTTGGAAATTTTTCCAAATGATTTTGCGTTCTAGTCCCAAAATTCGCTCAAAGAATCTTTGTATATCCTCCCAAATCGAATCCTCTCTTTCATCCCTATCATTGGTGTGTATCATTTCCACTTCTAGAATAATATTAAGTGGCAATTATTTAAAAACATCAATGAGTTCTCGGTAAAAATGTCCTCTACGGAGTGTTATGCGACGAGCATGATCTTCCACCAATTCTTATGATCTAATTTTATTCACGGAACCGCAAATATATCGATAATTCCCCTAAATTATCTTTATTCTTGTCTTGAGAGTCGAAAAGTGATTTCTTCCGCATCCGCTGCTTGTTGTAGTCCTGCCTGAATAGTTATCATCAGTATTTTCAACAAAGAGAATGAATAGAATAAACACCAGCCATTGGCATCACCTGGAATTTAGACTTCAAAGACGAAATGGGTCATTTTTTTTATATGTGGTACCTCTACGCCTTCGTAATAAAAGAAACATTTTACTTACGAAAAATATTTTATATTGAAACATGGCAGGGTGGTGGCGGTATGACCAAATAACAATAAATATTAGTAGTCTTATAATAATACATATAAGTTACCTGAATTATATTCATATATTTTTTGAATTCCATTTTTTTGGGGACATACATTTTCTAATTTCCGCCGGACATTTTGCGGAATGACCTTCTAACTAAAATTCCTAAATTAGTTTGGCAATGTACCTATTTCAATTTTTTTCCTTCTCCTGATTTGAATTTTCACCATTTAATATATCCTGAATTTCTTGCAAGCTCTTTCCCGTCGTTTCAGGTAAAAATTTATAAACAAAAAGTAGCCCTACCACGCAACAACCTCCAAACAATCCAAAACTACCAGATTTTCCTATGATACTTGTAACTAAAGAGAAATATTTCGTAAGGATAAATCCGAAAAACCAACAAGTAGCTGAAGTAACCGTGGAGGCGACAGATTTCACATTGGCAGGGAACATTTCTCCCATCACAGCCCATGGAATAGGTCCAAATCCTAAGCAATAAGCAATTATGTAGCTGATCAGGCAGAGAATTGGCAACCATGACATCGACGAAACATCTTCGTGGTTGTCGTCTTTGAGATGGAAAAAGTAAGCTAGAGCTCCTTGAGCAACGGCCATACCCACTGCTGAGATCATGAGTAGTAAACGTTTGCCTTGGCTATCAACCAAAATTGAAGTTAGGCCACTTGATATTACTTGGACTATACCAACGATGATTGTGCATATTTCGGGTTGCAAAGACACTCCAGCATCCTAGAAATTGAAAAATGTTTTCATTACTTTCAGCCAAATTGTATCCAAATTTAAAAAATCGTATAGTTGAATGATACGTGATGGTGAATGATGGTGATGGTAATGATGATGAGTATGCACTTAATAGAGATGGGGTACTGATTACGTATTCGAAAAATAATTTATGAAATTGCTAATCCAAAATCTTATTCTCTTCTTTCCTTTCCTGTCAAGTTTGAGTTTTTTATGGCAAAAAATACCATAGTCCTAACTACGCCTTAATTCTTCCAAAAATCTGAATATTTGCAATTCAGTTATTCTTTAGATAAAAAAAAAACCTTATAAAATAAATACAACTATTTGATATATATTATATAAGCGCTCACTTATCGAAAAAGCATTTTGCTAATGCTTCCAACACGCCACATCGTGAGTATGCACTAGATAAAATAGTGGACACAAACGACACAAAGCAATTTGCGCTTGCGCTTTAAACAAGGCTTAAGAAAGGGTTAGCACTAATCTTAATCTATTTAATAGTTATGAAATAAACGAATATGGATTAATAATCCTTAATCCACTTAGTATCCGGATAAAACGCTTGAAATAAACGTAGTCAATGACAAAATCAACTACTAGTGTATGAAAACCCAAATCAAAATATTGTTTTTTTTTTGTTTTTTCAAACGGCGTACCACAAGGGATAATAATTCCTCAATATGATAAGTAATCAAGCTCCATGATGTCGCATAAAAGTATCCATCGGCAAAGCATGAATCAGAAACCCTTTTTCGCTCTTAAGTTCAAACAAGCTAATTGGTAAAATGACGCATTATCAAATTGTGACTTACCTGGAAAATATTCTGTGCAAAAAACAACACTATATTTATACCAGAAACTTGTTGAAATATCAATAGACCATTTGAAAGCACAAACGCTTTAGTCAGACCCTTGGATTTAAATATATCAAAAAACGTGCTTTTGTTGGCCAGGGCATCATTCACTGCACTTTTCATCGACTGCAATTCTGTGCGAACTTGATTGGGTGAAGTCCTGCTTCTTAATTTCATTAAAGCAGCTTCTGCGTTCTTATCTTGGCCTATTTGAAGCAGGAAATAAGGGCTTTCGGGAATAAACATGAAGAAAGTTACAAGGAAAAATATAGGAATTGCCAGGCAAGAAACGTTGAATAGGGTTACTGAAAGGTAGGGGCCGATCATGTAAGAAAATAGTAATCCCATTACCGCAAAAAGCTGCATAAGTGTGCCTAAAGCACCTCTAACTTCATCTTCTGCAATTTCTCCAACATACATTGGCAATACCGTAAATGTTGTTCCAACAGAAACACCACAAATAAATCTAGACACCAATAAATAATTGACATTTTTGGCTATGATATTTAAAATCAATCCAAGGACAAGAGGTACATTTCCAATTAGCAATGTTTTTTTTCTTCCAATTCTATCAGCTGCCGCTCCAGCAAGGAACGGACCCAAGACCGCACCTAATGGTAAAAGTGATCCGATCCAACCAGCGTCGCTTTCAGAAATTTCTTCTGGTAAAGGACTAAGAGTGATGTTCTGTAGTTTTGGTATTACTGGAGAAGTCCATCCTAGGGTTATGCCTGCAGCGAATGTGGCTAGATTTCCTGAAATGAAAAGATGAAAATTAGTAAAATATCCCAAATTCACTAACCCGGAACAAGGGAAAAACAAATTAGTATGTATAACAGCTTGGCACAAATTTGGTTTAGTTTGAGTTAGTTTGGGTAAGTTTGGGTTAGTTTGGGTTTAGGCAAATCTACCTACTCAGATCCAGAGGAGAAGATTCAATTAGTTTATATTATTATGAAGAGATACACGAGACGGCTAAACAGATGAAATTAACAATTTAATGTAACCTAGAACTAACTATTCTGTACCTACTATGACGTTTTGTTTAATCAAGAAGTATGCAAACTTTCAAATGCCAATTAAGTATATATTTGTATTTTGATGCAATTGCTTCCTTGATAAACTGCATGTACAAACTTGACATTTCAATGTGAGAGATTTGGCACACTAGGAGTAAATGTATAAGAGATAGGACGAAGATGAAAAATTATTTGGTAGCAGACTTAAAAGAAAGTCTGGTAAAATCGAAGTTCAATCAGAAATCGATTCCAAGAAATGATTTGCACTGAATAAATTCAGAGAAATGAAACTAGTTCAGAAAGTGACAATTTAAGATAAGATTACTATAAACCTAGATAGGTACGTCATCAGTTCAAGGTAAGAAACCAATTGGTACCGGAATAAGTGAAGTTCCAAGTAGGTACCTTTTCCAAGTGATCCGTTCACTACTCTCAGTAAAACTATGGGGTCAGATAGTCGACAATGGTTAAATGCAATAAAAAATGGGTAAAGTTGTTCAAATATTGAAAATAGGACTAGGAATTAACAAGGCACAAACGTTAAATATAAATCTCGCAGGTTGGGAAGGAATGGTTCCAAGAAAAAGGAATACCTTATAATAACTGTAGATGTAATCAGATGTAGGACAAAAACCAACAATTCCATCTACATTTTTGAAATTTTTTAATCAATTTAGAATCTTCTTCGAAGCCATTTTTCTTAAATGATGGAATACTCAGATCTGTGTTTCGATATGATTCACTCAAGTTCTAGATAGAATAACGAAAAGAAAAACTCCAATTTCTTCTCTAGCTATTTTCGGGTAGCCAGACTTTTGGTCTTGCAAGTGCGAAAAAGTCTACTTCGATTAGTGCCAAGTAAATTTTCTGAGGATAAAAACTAGGAAGATTAAATAAAGCATTCCATGATTTGAAGCAAGCCAGCAGGGATTGAATTAAAATGCCAGGCACATTCGTCATAGAAATTGGTTCGTCTCAATAAAAGCCTGATCCCTGTATATATTAGGGAGGTATACAAATTCAGTCAATTATATTTTCAATCAGTGGGTATGGAATAAGAAGTCTGAAAGAAGAATCGCGTAGCTAGTTGAAGATGAAAGATATTAAATGAGCGAAATATTGTGTTGGAATTAAAATTTAGGGATTGATTTAAAAGAGGCTTCACTACTCTGATCCAGCCCCTAGAAGCCCACAAAAGAAAAGTGTACAGCAAAAGAAGAAATCCAATCAATTCCATATCAACAAGCTGTTGTTTGTTTATGTTACTTATGGAACCAGGCCAGATGTATCATATTCAATAACTGTATATTATTTAAGTGGGTACTATAATCAGGACGTCCGATTTTCTTGCGACAATATAAGATAATAAACTAATAAAAAATAAATAAAGATTTTAATTCACGATGCTCTTTCTTAAAATTATATAGATAATAGAGAGTTATTGGAACTAATAAATACTGCCTCGCAGTATTAAGGATCTACGTTATTTTATTAGTGCATCAGCACTATTTTTCCAAGAAAAAAACAGTTATTGGAAGACTATAGTAGGTGCTAGAGTATCACCTTATTGTGTATTCATAATTTTGACAGCTGATAGCTATGTTTATAAATTTCAACCTCAAAAAGTGTTTATTTTTGTTTGTGATTTTTTGCCGATGCTCATTTTTCGATGCTACCCACAGTAAAATGGAAAACTACTGTAAAAAATAAATTTTCGAAGTAAAATTACGTCACCGTCGAAAAGCGAAACGTCAAAGTCGTCCAAAATGTCAGAAATTTGAAATAAGGGAAGTTTACTGCCTCGCACTAACCATACACAAATAAAGACAAGCAGTAACCTTATTAAGGGAATCCTTATTTTCAGACCCAAATGCGCATGCGTAGATGTCAAAATAAGGCTAATTTAAATACTGCTTGTCCTTATTGCACGTCCAATAACTCTCTAATATCTTTTACATTGTATTAGGATGTGTCGAGAATTATGACAAAGCCCGGTAATGTGGCACACTCAAATGAAAAAAAAAAAACAAAAAAAAAAAAAAAATTACACGGCCTAAACCAGCGAATTTTGTAGTCTTAAGGGCGTATCATCGTCGTGAACATGGTTTTATTATTGAAAATATTCCCTTCGGATGATCAATTAGTTGTTATTTGAGCCAATTAAGAATAGATAGGAGGCAAAAAATCTCGATCCTTGAACTAATAGTTTCGAATATAGTGGAAATCAGAAGCTTGAAAATAGAACGGTCAAGCGATAAACGAGGCGTCTGCACGCATGGTGTTAACGGAGTGTCCCTCGGGATTTTTAGGAAACAAGAAGCTTGGACTCACAAATACTTTCGAAAAGTCGCGCTAAAAAAAATACATTTTATTTGAAACAATAACATTGAAATACCTAATTTTATTGAGCAAAGTTTCGGGTTTAGGGAGAATGACAAAATTTATGTAAATCATGATTTAACAAAACGAAACTCTACTATTTAGAGAGGCTCAGGCATAAAAGGAAACACGAATACAAATTTCTATGGATAAATAACGGTAACGTATTTTTGCGGAAGGGTGAAAACACCAAAGTAATCTTGATAGATAAGGAAGAGGACCTAAAAAACTAGGTAATTCTGAGGAACAAAAGAGGCTCTGTCTAGTATATATAAATGCACAAAGTATTGGAAATAAATGGGATGAAATGCAATGTCTTGTGTGTGTCTAGTAAGTGTGATATTCTTTTGATAGCTGAAACTTGGTTGTCGGAAACAGACGTTGGCTATTTTGAATTTGACGGCTACAGTTCAACACATTCCTATCGTAACCAGATAGAAGGCGGCACATCTATGTACGTCTTGAAATATAAGGAACTGCATGCATAACATGAGTTGGATCTGTGCCCTGATGGGAAACAATAAGTTTAGGGTCAGTATAGTATATATACCACAATCATATAATTACCAATAATTTTCTGAGTTGCCTTGAGAATATGATGACCATGTATCCCAAAAAACACATTATTCTGGGTGATTTCAACATTAATTTGTTGGAAAACTTAGCTGGGGTATAAAATTAAAAGACCTTAGTGGCATTAAATAACTTTACAATCAGGAACACTATTAATCTGGAAAATGCCATACGGGTCACAACAAAAACACGTGTTTTGACTACCTATCAATATGATAATATTTGTGAAGATGCAGTGGAAAAAAGTTCAATATCCGGTCACAATAAATTAACAATTTTTCTCAGAGAAAATACATAAGCCAGAGATGAGTTACACATCCACAGGAGTTGATTATAGGAAGTTTCAAAATACCTTTGCCGACAAATTACTATACTAATATAAGTAGGTACGTTCCAAGACTTAATAAAGTTAATCAACCAAAGTAAAAGCCAAGCAGAGTATCAAAGGGTCATAAGATGTCATGAAAATAATACCTGGATAACTAAAGACTTATTATCTATGATTAAAGAGGTAGGTATATAAATACATATAGGTACGTGTAAAGAGAAGGGTAATATTTTACTGGTGTAATGAATTTCGAGTAATAAAAAATAAAATAACTAACAAGATAAAAACACTAAAAAATCGACATATTAGAGATAAATGGGAACTGGCTGGGAAAAATATTAAAAAACAATGGGAGGTGATAAACGGTCTTATACTCAACAAAACTTCTACAACGGGACTAAATATTAATGGCTGTAATATAAGTGATCCTTTAACAATTGCAAATGAGATTAACACATAATTTGTCTCCATAGATAAAGAAATTGTAACTGAAATAGATAATAATATATTAGCTCTGGATGGCAGGAATGTGCCAGACTTTGGAGCAATTTACTGTGAAAACACCATTTTGTTAGAGCCAACGAGTGGACAGGAGGTCAGGAATGTAATTAGAAATTAAAAAAAAAAAACACAGCTGCTGGTCATGATCAGGTAACTGTTAGAGATATCACGAACTTGATAGATTTCATTGTACCACTTTTGACTTCGCTATAAATGGCGTACTGATCTCTGACTCATTCTCTCAGGAGCTGAAAATTGTTAGAGTTTGTCCTGTTTTTAAGTCGGGTAAAAGAGAATCTATGAATAATTATAGACCAATTAGTATAGTAAGTGTATTTTCAAAAATTGTTTAAAGTGTATTAAAACAAAGAATGCTTAATTTTATGAATAAATACATAAATGTTGATAGCTTTCAATTTGGCTTTACTGAAAAAAGTAACACACTAAGTGCAGTAGACTTAATACATAATGTAACAAGTGAACTTGATGCAAAAAAAATCGTTATAGCGGTGTTCATAGATCTCAGAAAAGCCTTTGATATCGTAAGCACTGATATTTTACTGGGTAAATTGTATAATATGGAATTAAGGGGAAACTTATATACCTAGTTTAATTAGGTCATACCTTGAAAACAGGCAACAGTATGGTAAAATGGAAAATCTTCCCAGTCGGTTAGAGTCAACCCAATGTGGAGTAAGGCAGGTCTCTGTGTTACTGTATTCTTTGTATGTTTCAAGTTTAAAGTGCTGAAGAATAAAAGCTAGATAGTTATTATGCATTTGCTGACGATACTATTCTAATATATGAGGGAGATAATATACATGACCTGGAACGACAAGTTAACACTGATCTGGATCTATACATTGATTGACTGACTGTTGCATAATGGATTGAAAATTAATATAGAAAAAACAAAGTTCATGCTGTTTAAACAATTAAATAAGAACATAGAGCAACCTTATATACAGATAAATGGAGCTCATTTAGAAGAAGTATCAAAAATAAAATATCTTGGCTTGATTATTGATGATAAATTAAATTGGAGAGATCATATAGATTATTTTTAGACAAAAATAACAGCAATGGTTAGTGTTGTGTACAGATCCAGAAATTACCTCACGATAGTAAATTTAATGTATACAATGCATATTTCTTTTCTCACTTGAGGTTCTTTAACCTAATCCCTGTATGGGAAATGTGTGGTATTGTTGATATGCGTAGCATCCAGGTTGTGCAAAATAAAGTGCTAAAAGTATCGTTTAATTTGGATCTTATGACATCAACAGAAAGTTTATACAGTGATTTGGGCGTCCAAACGCTTGACAGCCTTCTTAAGTTGGAACAGTGTAAGTTTAGTATATAAAATCGTAAATAAAATGCAAAAATGCAATTATATATACAAGTAATATTCATACACATAATACAAGAAATGTTAATAATATATATTTATTAAATGTAAGAACTAATAAAGGCCTATACAGCACTATGTATCAGGCATCATGTGTATACAGGGTGTTTGGTAGGTCGATGTATATATTTTGGGAGGTGATAGAGCAAGTCATTTAGAACCTATTTAGTCAAACTTACCTTAGTAGCAAGTCTTATGGTTTTCAAAATATGGCCGATTTAATTTTTCTTAAACAAATCCTTTGTTCGGCGCTTCAATGCAATATTCAGTAACATCACAAATTATCACAAAAATTAACCAGACATTAACAAACTATTCACTTATTTCAGTCTAAAAGTGAACATTTTGTTTGTAGAAAGAAGAAAAATAAGGCTAGTCCAGTTTTTTTCGTAAATACCTACTCATTTTTGGGAATCTGTAGTCTTGACAGATTTTTGTGCTGCAAACCAAAGAAAAATTTAATTTTTTGTGGTACCTATGTGCAATACGAAAAGGCACATGTGATAAAAGTTATTAATTTACTTTGCAAACCTTGGCTGTCCTTATTTTATCCTATTTTTTTTTTCTGAAAAACTTAACTTGCAATGGAATTAATATGACTTTAAAATGGCACTCTTATTGTTGATTTTTATTTATTTTATTGTTAATGCATTTAACACGAGAAATAGACATTCCTTGAAGATACAAAATAAAAATAATTGAGACAGTATTTCTGAATATCGCCTAACAAAGGCTTTGTGAGATTTTTTTAAGAAAAAATTAAATCGGCCATATTTTGAAAACCATCAGACTTGATGGTACTACGGTAAGTTTGACTAAATAGGTTCTAAATGATTTACTCTATCACCTCCCAAAATATATGCATCGACCTACCAAAACATCCTGTATAATAATTTATCAGACGACATTAGAAATGTACGAACATATAAACAGTTCCTTAGAAAATTGAAATTAATGTTTAGTTGACATCATGTGATATAGCATAGGACGTCAAAGTTATAGACATTATTAAAATTATAGAATGCCCGATATAAAATGTACATGCTCGTTAAAATTATAAATATTCGATAAAAATAATAGACACTCGATAAATAAAATAATTGCTCCATAACAAGTTCATATTCTTCCTAAATTATTAAATATTCGATAAAAATAATATATAGGCTCAATAAATGTAACAAATGCTCATTACCAAATTCTGATCTTTGTCAAAGGTGAGAAAAAAATCTATAAAGTCGATTAATTTTCATCATTATTTGGTATACTTTGGGTAAGTATTGGTAAGTTTGAGTTAGTTTGTGTTAGTATTGGTAAGTTTGGGATTTTTTGGGTTACCTAGTAGATATTGGTAAGTTTGGGTTACTTCGTGTTAGCATGAGCGGCCGTTTTTTTTCTAAATGATTCAAATGTAAAAAAGCAGGTTTTTTTCAGATTTGAAAAAAAAAACATGAAAAAAAACTAGAAAAAAAACAAGTTTTTTTTTTTTTCAAAATAATTCAATTTTAAACTTCGTGAGTATCTCCAACCTCATCTTTAAGTAAAAAAAAAACGGACATTTGATGACCCTGGATACGTAGTTACAGTCTGAAAATTCTTCATACAGCGAAAGTGTCTTATATCACAGTGATGTTCTGTTCTAGTATGTATGTTGTATGAATATGATGAATGTATGATCTGATATAATATGATAGTTCATACATGGATGTACCATGTACTTGACCTGAAAACATGTTTCATTTACATAAGAATAGGTCTGTTTCTGCAGAAATCACAAACCAGTCAGACTGAATTTCATTGGTTGAAACTAGTTTTCTGACTGTTTCTACTGTTTTCAACCAATGAAATTCGCTCTGACTGGTTTGTGATTTCTGCAGAAACAGACCCAATATTGTTCCTATGTTAGACAATATTTTACGTTTTATCCATATTTCACTGCTTAAACCAATTTTTTGTCCCAAGAAAAGTTTAATTGGCAAAAAAAGTAAAAACTGCGCATATGGTGCTAAGTTTAGAAAAAAAACACAAAATCTGAAAAAAAACCATTTGAAAAAAAACCATGAAAAAAAACTTGAAAAAAAACAAAAAAAACGGATTGTTTTTTTTCACGTTACATCTCTATGAGCGGGTAATTATTACAGTATCAATATATGTAATGAATGCTCAGGGTCAAATCCACATATTTCCTGACTTAATAATTGCATTATTTTATCGTGCCTTAATTATGACCCTTAAAAAAAGACTACCTACGGATGGCCTTACTCTTTTCCACTCGCGCATTGACGTCGCGAGAGTAGGTAGTTTAATTTTTTTTGCTATTCTTAAAAGAGGATAAGAGTAGGTATATTGGAAATATTCTGTAATAAGTAATGGGGACAAAAAAAAACTAGATAAACTAAAAAGTTTAGGCAAATGTAGAAAAAGTTAGGTCGAGTGTAGTTTTTATTTTGTGACCGGTTATAAGTGAGCGACTCATCGTATTGTCCAAAAGTTCTTATCCAATGAGGAACCACTCATCTGTGGCCTCATGACAAAATTGTTTGATAATTTTATTCTTTTTTTTTTATTAGGGAACGGAAACATTCCAACCTTTTTCAATTAAAAGTAGTTGAAAATGCTCGACAGGGAATAAATTGAAATAAGCCACGACTATTTGTTTTTTGTTACGAAATGGACTATCTGCAAATATGTGCTTTGTATTGTAGTTCTCACAACTTCAATTGGATGTCCTTATTCAATAAATTTTTTCAAAAATATTTCATTGTACTCGAGCAATAAAAATAGGAAATAGGTACATAAAACTTGTCTGGCCTCCCTCGATTGATGGGGTAGACCGAAAAAAATTAAGTTAAAAAGTGTAACGGAGAAGTTCTTGATAATCATTTAATTCCAATTTGAAATTTAAAAAAAATTGAACTAAACCTGTAAATGCGGCGATATAAAGGAATGTCCTCCTTGCCGGTAACATGTCCACTTGACTTATACGAACTTCGACATGCCCATCTGCGGCAATATTTCCTTTTTCGTATTCAGCGACAACTTCATATTTATATGGATATTCGTCGGGTTTGTCTCCATTTGTTACCATTTTGACAATAAAAGCGTTCCCTTTTTCAGCCAGATTACATTCGGGGTGGATGGTATCTTGTTACTGTACTACTATGAATGTAATTTGAGTTACCTCCTCTTATCTATCCATACTATGAGTACCCACTGATTTAACAAGTAAATATAGTTTCAAGTGCCTTCTCTAATCTAATGTATTTTTGCTTTAAATGATTTGTTGCGTATATATAGTGTTGAACATTATTATTGCTCGTTATATAGCTGCTTCAGAATGATATCGGTATTCAATATTCGCATCGTACCAAAATAGTTTATTGATTAGTGTAGAAACTTAATCGATCTTATATCTCATTATCACCTTGAATTGTTTCAAATTACGTTTAAACGCTTAGGTGACGTTAATTTCCTTTCTGGAGACTAGATAAACTTACATAGGTACATTTACAGAGGGAACACCTGGGTATGCTGCTCATTGCGGCCCAATTATTTACTTTAGTTATAGTTACTCCTTAAAAAAATAATAACGGCAGGCCCTAATTACGGAGAATTAGATACCCTGAAACACACTGTGAATAAAACGGAGTTAACTCAAAATTAAGGCTACCATATTATTCTGATAAAAAAAACGGGACATTTTTATGAAACAGACGTTTCATGTATTTATAGAAAAAGTAGCGCCGCAGACGAATTTTTTTTTCGGAATTACGCCCGTGGGCCAACCCACGGATAAACACATTAATACTACAGGATAGCCTATCCTAGTAAGGCCTGTGTAGAACAAATCTGTAGCCCCCTACCCCACCAAATCACCATTTGTGACGTAGGCAGCATGTCGTTTCTCGTCTTGACGTTAGCTGTATTTATCACAGGTTATGATTCCGCGGGCTTTTGCTTTATTCATACTTCATTAATTAACATTCTAAGGGCCGATACTTTTGCTCACGATTAACGAATTTGATACGTCGTCAAAGTTTTGCATGGGCCAAATTTAAAGCCCTGATTATTTTTAACGACTGTCAAATGAGAGCAAAAGTACCGGCACTAACTAAAACAACTATTAACTTGTTTTTATTCTCATCGGTGACTTCACCGATGAGTTAGCTATCTTTGTTTAGTGAATGGAAAATGACAATGACGGCCATAGAATAGTGGATCCATCGGAAAAATTTGATGAGAATAAAAACGCAGGGTTTTTTTTAGATCTCGTTTGCATATTCCTATTTGTCTATTATGTCAATCAAAATTAATAGTATGGGCAAGTTTTTAAAATCATCAATGTTACATGCGCATTTTCATCGATGTAATGCTGTCTTTGTCATTTGACAGCAGCAAAACAAGGATATGTTGCCCATCAGGAGAAATGCGCAGAAGCAATTGATGAATTTAAAAACTTGCCCTATATTGTTTTATTAGGAGTAAAAGTGATACTTTTTGTGGCGAGACTAAATGTTTGTTTGACAATTTTAGACGAGCCACAAAAAGTGCTTTTCTCCGAATAAAACATACGATTTTTTCCGCAAACGGTGTTCAAAGCGATAGAATCTAGGAAATTTCTGTGACGTCACTTTTTTGTCCGGCCGTGAACGTACAAAAAAGGACTTTTTTGTACGCTCACGGAACGCGCGGACAAAAAAGTAACCAAAAAAATTATGTCTGTGAAGTCAAACTTCAACATTAAGAATTGAAGTTGAAAAAGTCGTCATTTTTTGACCTTTGAGGAAAAATATTATTTTTCATCATAAATTAAAATTCTAAACTACGACTGCTGACTGCTGGCGCAAACAGCTGATGTCGCTGATGACTTAGTTGATGACGTTGGCAATGGTGATACACCAATTTGGCGACGATTACCAAAAACTAGGCCGATAAGCAATCCTTTAATGGTGCTGAGACTAGAGTTGAGGCGCAAAAAGCGATTTATTTATGCCACCGCAGCGACTGGGAATGAGATGCAAAACGCAAAAATTAATTATTTAACTCTTTTTAAAATATCAGAGAATACGGGACATTCACACGTTCCGACAACAAATCTGGGGACGCGGGACATGGACCTTGAAATAAGGGACTGTCCCGTATAATACGGGACGTATGGCAGGCTTACCCAAAATAAGCACGTAAAATCTTGTATAAAATCTGTTTTGACTCTGGGACAACACCAATTCGAATGTAATAGCGGGATCAAACTAAACAGCGAAAAAGCTATAGGTATATATATTTTTCTGAACTAGATATATTATTTTAAAAAATATAAAAATAAGCTGAAGTGCTAATTCTCACTTTGCATAAGTGAGTGTTGTTTCGACGAGTGAAAAGTGAATTTTTGTAAAAGCAATTTTGTTCAATAAAAGTTGAGATTGGTGTCAGAAGTGGGATTATTAGTAAGGCAATTGACAATATTGTAGTGTATTAATTTGATCTAATTAGTGGGAACAATCAGTGCACTTTTATTGAATTGAAATACTGACTTTATTACCGGATTTGAAATCAAAAAACAAGTCCACAAACGGATTTTCTAAAAAATTATGGAAACTTCTAAATCTGGATACTGTAAGTGAGAGAACGATAGTGACTTCATTACTGGTTTCGACATCGCAAAACAAGTTCACAAACGGATTTTCTGAAAAATTCTAGAAATTTCTATGAAATTTGAAGTGGAAACAAAGAGTGATAGAATAGTGTCTAGTGATTTCATTACTGGTTCCGACATCGAAAAATAAGTTCACAGAGTGATTTTTCTAGAACATTTCATCGTGTTCTATTTGAAAATTTGACTTTGCCACAGAACTTTAGAACAAGCTGTAATCTCTGGGAAACAAACCAGAATGGAGAAAATACTAACAGGGCAAGATAAATGAATTATGAATACTCCCATAAGATCAAGACAACAGAAAGCTGCGGAAAGCCTTGAAGAATTTGAAACCGATATTTGCTTAGTTTAGCCTACTCGGGAGCAGCATCAGAATAGCGAGAGTGGCCGGAAACGTCATAAATGGAGTTAGAGATATGAACGTAGGGGAGGGTGGGCCACCATGAGACGCATTTACCATGAGACAGTCGCCATTATTTTTTGATAACGTGGGCTATTTGTCTCCATTTCACACATCAAGTATTGAACATGTTAGTCTTATTTCTGTTGCCAGAGAAGCTGTATGTGCGCCCCCGAATTTTTTGCCGGTTTAGATTTGTTTTGGCCATAGTGAAATTTCTTTTGCTGTGTTCAGTACTTCATCAGTCGTTCCCAATATATTTTCATTTTGTTCTGAGGTTTCCAACACAACAGGTGGATATTATTTCATTGTTTATGTATATTACGAGTCGATTTTTTCACGTTGTACCAAAATATTGCGGTTTGTAACTCAGACCTACCATGGGCTACAATGAGACACGAAGTTTGGGACGTGTCTCAAATGTTGAGAAAAAATATTTTGTTCAAAACATGTCGTGAGAAGGCCTGTTTAGTGCCGAATCAATAAAAAGGCCTGTCGAAGATGTGGTTGAACAAAAATTAAGCTTTACGGAATGCAGCAGAGAAAAACAACGTGAAACATCAAACATTTGCAAGATATGTTGAAAAAACACAAAATAATGAAGAAAAGTTATATTACTGCCCTCGTTACGATGTATTATTTTTGAATAACCTTATTTTTCTCCTTTTTTCTCGATTTTATGTATGTCTCAAAGTGGCCCACCTCATGGGCTACCTTGAGACAAAATCAGATTTTTTTAGATTCCTCTATAAAATAAAATAAATAATATTGTGTTAATAATTTATTCAAAAAATGTGTGCAATAAGATGAATGTTACCGCTGCTGAAGAAAGGGAATTTCAAACTTGATTGTAGAGTACAATTGAGATCTAGCTGTCCTTCTCATGAGTCCACTTTTTTTTTGCGAACTTGCAACGGTACCATTTTTTGAACACATATTCTTTTGTTGAACTGCGCAGATGTCTTATCTAGCCGAGCATCCCTAGATCGAGGCAGAACTGCCTCAGAATTGATCCGTGTGAAAGAGTTCCTGTTAGAAGCCTCTGATTCCATGCGCATCGTAGTCCCGAACAGCTGGGAAGTGATTGCTGAGCCAGTAGATCAAAATTATCCTTCAGACAGCCGCTCTACAGATTCTTATGAAGAGGAATATTAAAAGTGCTCGCACATCCACGAAGGCACAGGAAAGGGAGCTGGCAGCAAGGCACTCAACAAGCCACAGTTAACTGTTCTTGTAGTCTCCGTGACGTCAGTCCAAGGAAAGAGGAGCAACGCTGAAATGAGAGCCAATCTGGGAAGTCAGGCAGGCCGAGCGGCCTAAGGGGCTGCTTTCAGGTCGGTGTCCACTTAGACAGGCATAGAGATGTTAAGCACATGAATTGATGGAATCATTATGGATCTAGGTAAAGAGAAGGTGGTACATCTTGAGAAAGTCAGATCGGGGAGATCCCTGTGTTACGAAAATGCATCGTCAACTCAGCCAGGGCTCTACGAATCGAGTTGTTTATACGTCTAACGCGACTATTCGGGACATTCTATTTGAGTAGGGTGTCGGTCTCTTGTAGATAAATCCCGAGCAAGGTGTCGGCTATAAATAGCGGGCGGTAACTCAGAGTAAGTTTATTCTAGCATTCGTCAACCACACATCAGAAATGGTCGGATGTACAATGCGGCCACACAAAATCGTTCCACCAAGGCCGCCAACAAAAGACAAAAGAGCCGATGTAATGATGTCAGAGCGAGGCAAGAAGAACCACGACGCGAGCTTACAAAGACTCTGAGACACAAACAAAGCATCCAACGACAACCAAAGATTTCAACTATAAACCTAGTCCACATAGAGAATAATGGATTCAAGCCGTCATCTCTGAGGAACAAACCAAAATAATCCTGGAAGTGCAAGGTAATGAATTCAGGAATACGATAGAAGAAGTACGTGTTTGGAATGCTCGTCAGGAAGCTGGAACTGGTTATCAGGAAACTTTCGGCAAGAAAAGGATAGTTCAAAAGAACATTGAACAACTGGCATGAGATCGGGGAATGTCTCAGCTTGTCCTGCAACCTGTAACTGATAATAAAGTTAAACCAACACCAAACGACGGTCAGGCACCGTGGGCGATGTACAGGCATGAGTTCGAGACTG